TAGATTTGTATTTCTCTGCATTTAATTTGGTGTTGGCTATGAGCCTGCTGTAAAATGTTTAGCAAGCCCTTTGTACCCCGATGTCTCCAGAATTTTTATCATGAAGGAGTGTTAGATTTTTTTGAAGGCCTTTTCTGTATCTAATGAGATGATCATGTGGTTTTTTTTGTTTTTCTGTTTGCTTATGTCGTGGATTACATTTATTGACTTATGTGTGTTGAACCATCCTAGAGATCTAGGAAGAAACCTATTTAATCATAGTGGATGATATTTTTGCTGTTCTTGAATTTGAATTACAAGCACTTTATTGTGACTTTTTGCATCTATATTCATCAGGAAAATTGGTCTGTAATTCTCTGTTGTTTTTCTTAGGTCTTAATATAGTTTGGGTAGCAGGGTAACTGCAGCTTCATAAAACAATATGGGCCATGTGCTTTCTGTTTTCACTTTGTGGGATAAAATCATCTGGCCCTGGGCTTTTTTTTTCTTGGCTTGGGAGACTTTTGATTATTGCTTCTATTTCATTGGGGGTTATAGGCCTGTTTAAATTGCTTTCCTGGTCTTGATTTAACTTTAATAAGTGGTACCTATCAAGGAAAGTATCCATTTCTTTCAGATTTTCCAATTTTGTAGAGTGCAGGTTTTTAAACTATGTCTTTATGGTTCTCTGAATTTCCCTAGTATCTGTTGATATGACCCCTTTTTATTTCTGATTTTGTTGATTGTCTTTACCTCTTAGTTAGTTTGGATAAGGGTTTCTCAATCTTATTGGTTTTCTCAGAGAACTAGCTCTTGGCTTCATTGATTCTTTGTATTGTTTTCCTGTTTGCTTCTATATTATTGATTTCAGTCATGAGTTTAATTATTTCTTTCCATCTACTCCTTATGGTTGTGATTTCTTCTTTTTGTTCTAGAGCTTTCAAGTGTGCTGTTAAGTTACTAGTATGAAATCTCTCCAATTTTTTGTGGTACGTTCTTCATGATATAGACTTTCCTCTTATAACTGTCTTCATTGTGTCCCATAAGTTGTGTCTGATATATGTTCTTTTTCATTCAATCTTAGAAAATCTTTAATGTCTTTACTGATTTCTGTCTTGACCCATTTTCATTCAGTAGTGAGTTACTCAGTTTCCATGAGTTTGTAAGCTTTCTGTTGTTTCTATTTTGTTGATATTCAGCTTTAATGCATGCTTTGAGGTCAGATGAAATGCAGGGTGTTGTTACAGTTTTCTTGCATATGTTGAGACTTGCTTTGTGTTTAAATATGCAGTGAACTTTAGAGAATTACATGAGGTGCTGAAAAAGAGGTATATTCTTTTGTGTTTGGATAGAATGTTCTATAAATATCTGATATGATTTTCTTTTGTTTGTAATGTCAGTCAGCTTTATCATTTCTCTCTTTAGTTTTTGTCTGGATTATCTGTCTATTGGTGAGCGTTGGATATGGAAGTCACTCTATCAGTGCGTAAGGATCAATGTGTGAGTTTAGCTGTAGTGGTGTTTCTTTTACTAACTTGGATGCCCTTGTGTTTGGGGCATAGATGTTAAGAACTGAAATGTCATCTTGACAGATTTTTTTCTTTGATGAGCATGTAATATACTTTCCTATCTCTTCTGATTAGTTTTGGTTGAAGTCTATTTTGTCAAGTATTAAAATGGTTACACCACTTTGCATCCCAGGTCCATTTGCTTGGAATATCTTTTCCCATTCTTTTACCCCATGATGTCTGTTCTTGATGTTAAGGTGTGTTTCTTGGTGGCAGCAGAAGGATAGATTCTGGTTTTGAATACATTCTGCTAGTTTGTGTCTTTTTATTGGAACATTGAGACCATTTTATGTTGAGGGATGTCAATAAACATCCTTTGGTTCTGTTATTTTGCAGTTGTGCGCTCTCTCTCTGTTTCTCTCTGTCTCTGTCTCTCTGTTTCTCTCTCTCTGTCTCTCTCTGTCTCTGTGTGTGTGTGTGTGTGTGTGTGTGTGTGTGTGTGTGTGTGTGTGTGTGTGTGTTGTGTTGTTTTCTCCTCTTTTATTTGCTGGTCTGGGATTATTTGCTCATTGTGTTTTCCTAGATGTGACCTCTTTAAGCTGGAATTAATCTCTTTAAGTTGGAATTTTCCTTCTAGCACTTTCTGTAGGGCTGGGGAAGCAGATACTGTTTAATATTGTTTAAATTTAGTTTTGTCATGGAATGTCTTTTTTTATTTTCTCTGTCTATGGTGATTGAAAGTTTTGATGGATATAGTAATCTGGGATAGAATCTGTGGTCTTTTGGAGTCTGCAACACATCTGTCTAGGCCTTCCTGGCTTTTAAATTCTCTATTGAGAAGTCAGGTGCTGTTGTAACAGGTCTGCCTTTAAATGTTACTTGATCCTTTTCCCTTGCAGGTTTTTTTCTGTATATTTGGTGATTTGATTATTATTTGGCAAGGGGACTTTCTTTTCTGGTCCAGTCTATTTGGTGTTCAATATGATTCTTGTACCTTGATGGGCATCACATTCATCTGTTTAGGAAATTTTTCTTCTATTATCTTGTTGAAAATATTTTCTGGGCCTATAACCTGCATTTTTTCTCCTTCCTCTATCCCAATTATTCTTAGATTTGTTCATTTCATAGTGTCCAAGATTTTCTGTATGTATTGTACGCATGTTATTTTTAGATTTAACATTTTATTTGACTGAGGTATCTATTTCTTCCATCACATCTTCAATGCCTGAGAGTCTCTCTTCCATCTCTTATATTCTGTTGGTGAGACTTTTCTCTGAGGTTAGTGTTCGAATTCCTAAATTTTTCATTGCCAGGTTTCCTTCCATTTGAGTTTTTATTGGTTCTGTTTTCATTTTCAGGTCTTTGACTGTTTATATTTATTTCCTTCCACTATTTCTTTTTTGTGTTTTCATAGATTTCTTTGGGGGATTTATTCCTTTTTTCTTCATAAGCCTCTATAATATTCATAAAGGCTATTTTAAGGTCTTATGTTTAAGTGATGTTGAAATGATGCTGTGGTAGGGTTGCTGGGTTGTAGTGGACAGTGTCCTGACTGTTACTGAGTTTTTATGCTGGCATCTAGGCATCCGGGACTAGAAAGGTTGCAGTTCTTGGTGCTGATATCTGATCTTGTTTTTGTTGGATGAGTGCTTTGTGCCTTGGCTTCCATTGTTCTTTCTGGATCTTTAAAGAGTATTATGCAAATTCTTCTGGGATCCTGATAGATGTGACCACTGAGGATTCCATGTAAATTGTGTTTCTAAGCATTAAGAGGTGGCTTTTAGGAACAGGGATAGGAATGGGGGGGCTTGAGGGTGTCTATAGGAAATCAGGTGGTTCCACCAGGATCTACTTAGTCCCCTGGCAATGGGGGCAGAGATTATAGAGAGGCTGCAGCAGATGGTTCACTGGAGAACTGGAAGTGAGACTGGGCGATTGGACTTAGAGAAAGGGAGGGAAAATGAAGACCTACAGTTAGCTAGCTATTTGGATGACCAGAGTGGCCTGTGGAGTCCCAGAGAGTGCTTGATAGAGTCAAAGGCTGAGATAAAGCAGTGAATCAGGGAAGGACCTCTGGAAGGGTAAGATCTGTGTGAAGTGCGGGTGGCAGTGGTAATCTGCTATGAAGCTGGGGGTGAGACTAAAGGACTGGATTTGGAGGAGAGGAGGGAGATATGAAGATCTGCAGTTAGCCAGGGCCAGGGGATGCTCTCTTTAAGATGACTGACGTCCTTAAAGTCATTGTGCCATAAAACCTAATACCATGGGAAGCATTTCACACAGAAATTTGTGAGAAATCCACCTTTGGAAGCAATTTGGGACTTATTTATCAACAAAGGAAACAACACAGAGAAAAATAGAATCCAGTTACACATGATAAAAGCTAAAGGAACCTTAGAAAGCAATTTGTAGCTTATTTATTTATTACCAAACAAAGGAAACCACAAGAAAAATGGAATACAGTAACACAGGATAAGAACTAAAGGAATCTTCACTAGTGAAAGATAGTTAAAAACTGATTCTCACAAAGGCAAATGAGTGCTATAGTTGACTGCCTGTAACATAAAATATGGAAAGCGGTTCAGATACTTACGGGATTTCTCTAGATCAAGACATCTATATGCCAATGCAACATCTCTACATACTGGTTAGTCTTTCTTTATCACATCTAAAGCACTTGTCTTCCATTCTCAAGTTTGTCCCAACTAAAGATAGTGGAAGTTCCAGCTATCATGCTCTGTGTGTCAACCAAGAAACAAGAAAGACAAACTTGCTTTCTCCTAAACCCACCATTTTAATTAAGCTTCTTTCTTGGAGGTTCCTCACAATCTTCCCATGTATTTATCACTAGTTTGCGCATTTCCCATTGGGAAGCTAACAGGAAAGCTTAATAAAATAAAAATACAGATATAGTGATTTAAGCAAGCTGAGTTCTGATAGAATGGTAAACGGAACATTAAGCACTTGCTAAGAAATGTCTGTGGAACGGGAGTGGAGGCACATCTGGGCATGGGAGGAGAGGGGGTGGAGGCACATCTGGGCATGGGAGGAGGGAGCTTCAGTACGTTGAAGTAAGAATTATGGAATTATTTGCTCTTTTTAAATATATGAAATTTTACTAGATTGGGGCAAAAATGTGAAACATCAAGCAAAGAAAACTCCATAGGTTTTCTCAAATTAAGCAAAACACAACACATCATACACAGAAATTTTGTTTCTATTAAGAACTTTGCCATTGATGGAAAGAAGGGTTAAATTGTAGATTAAATTTTACTTGGGCTTAATTTTAACAATAATGAAAGCCTAGCACATTCCTATCGTTGCGTTCGTTCATATGCTATAGTAACAATCAGCTTGGCTCTCCAGGGTGTGTTTACAAACAGTATTCCTACTGGGTCTGCATTAACTATTCCAGAAACTCCTGGTGGGTGATGGGTGATACGGTAAGGTCATGTCCTAGGAGTAGCATAGTAAAAGTCTGATGGGAAAGATCAATGTTGGCTCTTGTTTCAGGCAAGGCCCAGCTAAACCAGAAGTCCTGTCTATCCAGTGGCCTGGAAAACGATCCAGCCGCCGAATCCAAAGACACAATAGCTTCTCCCCCAACAGCCCGCAGTTCAATGTCAGCAGTCCAGGTAAGGCAGACTCCGACGCTCGCTTCATCATGTGTATGATTGAAAAACAGCAGCGTGGAACGCTTTCCTCTTATCAAATGCATGTCAGAGTATTTATTAGGAAGTGGGGAGGAGATCAACAGCCAGTCCTATCAGATCCTAGCTGCTGCTCCTGGACAGCTCACAGAGGGTGGACTCAGAGAAAAACACTTCCGAAGCCAATTCCTGAGAGCCCGGTCCTGTAGTGCACCCTAGTCCTGACTCTGTTCCTCCACCCAATACCTTCTTCCTCGCCAAGTTCCCTGAAGTGTGTCTCTTAAGCTCACCCAGGAAAATCTTTGCATTAGCCATAGCTGCCTTATCCTATCCCAAATTCTTACAAAGAGGACATGTGTTTCCACATTATGCCAGCTCACTCAGAAGAAACCAAAGGCCAGAATGTGAAATTATTTGTCTAAGGTCATCTGCACTACCAGTCTATTGTTATTGCCAAAGAAACCCAAAAATTTCTATAAGTACAACTACAAATAATTGCCTTTCTCTGTCATGTGTGTGTGGTTAGTGCTGGTTTGGGCAATATCAGCCAGGTGTGGTTCCAGGCTATAGGCTCAGTTCTCTGTTCCTGGTAGCTTCATCTGGAATAAGTGACAATCAGAGCATTTGTCAGGCAAAATTTATATAAATACATTTAAACTGCAATGTTATTCTTGCCACCTAACTTTCCCTTTGCCAAATAAGTCACATGCAAAGCCCTCTAGCCAAGGTGATGGAAATATTGGCCCTCACTGTAGCAAGAGGTGTACAGTTGCCCCCCTCCACCCCCAGGGCTTGCACAGGAACCGTGCCAAAGGAACAAGCAAGGAAGCAGCAAGCAGATTACAGACTGCTCTCGTGGCTCCAGAATGGCAGTGATGGGTTCCCAAAGCCAAGCATAAATTACACTGTTTCCATTTTAACCATTTAGAAAACACAGAGCCAGGGAGATGGCCCTACAAGCAAACGAGTTTGCTGCCAAGTCTGGCAGTCCAAGTCTGATCCCCCAAACCCAAATGGTAGAAAGTCAGACCCCATGGTTGAACCAGCACCCACAGGTTGTCAGCTGACTTTTACACACATGCCTTGCAATGCATGAATTTTCCCTGAGTGTGCATGCACACATACACATAATAGATAAATAAAATATAAATGTGATACAATGGGGTGGGTATAGAAAATTGTCAGTTATGGTCATGCTATCCTGAGTGTATCAATCAGACTTAATCTTAGAAGCCTAGCTAGTACTCTGATGGAAAAACAGAGACAAAACTACAATTCCCAAGGACTTTGATTTTCCTTAAGTCCTTGTAGGGAACAACCCAACTTAGAAATATGCTACTTAATTTGTGAATTAAACATTAAACATGAATATTGCTCTCATTTCTGGTAACACTTTTATTGCAGTAATAATGTTTGTTTTTACTTTGTAATTTGTTGGTGCATGTCTTCCTCCAATACAGGAACACAAGCACATTTTGATACAAATCACCATGCTTTATTTTTGCAGTCTTAAAGATGAATGGGTTTCTTTGCTGTTTCCATATGTGAATAATACCTCTTTACAACTTAGGTCTTGATTCCATTTAATTCTATGATAAAGTAAGATTTCTAATTGTGAATTCAATTTTGCCCTCATTTAAAGAAAAATTAACGAATATAACTTGAACAAGCACTTATAAGACATCTTAAGTGAGTTGTCCTCAGCACACAGGAAGCTAGGATGATCAATCAAGACTTCAGGCCATAATGCCTCCTGTTTCATAATTACCTAGTAATAGTTAAGCAATAAAACCAGCAATTAATGGCATGTTTAAAGTGGTATTTTCTGTACAGTTCAGAGAATGATCTATAACAGGCATATTTTAGATTTTGAATGAATGAGCTTATCAAATAGATAACAAGCCAAGATAAATGAATAAATAGAGAAAGAGAGAGAGAATGTTCAAAGCAAGCTCTAAATATATCCCACAGAAACTGACTAAGGAACCCCTGTTAAAGCAGCCCGCTGGAGTTCCTCATGGATAGTTCGGAAAGAGTATGCCCTTTGCCAAGGCTTCCAAGTAAAAGAATAAATAGCAACACCTAAAGATGACATCATCAAATTGCGAGTCAAAGAGAGTTTACAACTGAGCTCTCTCTTCATGGGCGAGCTTCCTGGGTCTGAAATCCCTGGCTTCTCCTTCCCACTACAAACTCTCTTGTATCATGGGAAAAACAATAGTAACATTTGTTGGAAAATGGTTTACCTGCTAGCGCCTCAGGGAACTAATGTGTTTACTCTTGAGTTGTTTGGCTGTTCAGTTCTTCCTTGCTGTAAAGTTAGAGAGTCAGCTCATCCCCCAGACAAGGAGCCTTGGAGGACACTAGGAAACAAACATGCTTGGGTTCAAAATGGGGATGGAGGACAATCCTACTTCTAAATCCAGCTTCCAGTGAGCTCAAACAACAGGACAGTTGCCAATGTCACATACATTACATGGTTCCAGATAGGCAGATAGATATTTGATTCAGATATGTATATGTGTGTATACATATACATATATACATATATATATGTGTGTGTGTGTGTATCCAAATTAGTACCTACTATATCCACATATATACATGAGTATATTTTACATACATGAATCCAGCCCAACAGGCTCTCGTTTGCACTCTTCACCTCTAAGCCTTGACTAAAGGGTCCATATAGTCCCAGGTTAGTTGGTAAGAAAGGCAACAGCAGCTACATCACTATTACACTTAGTTTGCTTCACAGCTTTACATCAAGGTTCCGATTTTATCTCTTCCTGCTCCTGCCTTATAGGTGAGTTTAGAATCAGTGTTTTCCTTCTTTTTCAAAAGAGGACTATCTTATAGGAAAGTAAAAGAGGCTCAGCAGGATCTGTTCTTTTAGCTTCACAGGCTAGTACAGAAAACAATATATAATTTTTTTAAAAGGCTTGTGAAAAAGTCAGTGATGCATGGATCTCTGGGAATCAGATACTAAGACATCACTCATGGGTACATTTTTAGGAATCTGTTTAAAAGTCAGCGACACTGCAGCCTTCCTTCAGGGTGGAAGAAGAGATAACTAAGCATTCTGCATGGTTAAAAATTTAACATTCTGCCTTTGTGATTTCCTCCCAAGCGTTGTTAGAAGAAGACAACCAGTGGATGACCCAGATAAACAGACTCCAGAAATTAATTGATAGGCTGGAAAAGAAGGTAGGTACTCCCTTTCTTTCCTCTCTCTCCTTCTTTGCAAAATTTTCTGACCCAGTTTCCTCACTGCCTGGATGTCTGTCCTTGGCTGCCCCACAAATCAGGAATGTCCAATATTCAACTGGCTTTTTGAATGGATGGTTGGTAGCTAAGAGGGCTTGCTTTCTGAATGGTTGGTTGTTTGTTTGTTAATGCAAATATGAAAGCTCAGAGTTATGTTTAAAATAAGGTCCAAAGCTGAGAATTAAGTGAATGCTTAGGTTATGCGTGGATGATGGTAATGGCATCTCACAGAACAATACAAGTGAGGTTTTAAGAATCTTCCAGTTTACTCTCGGGGGAGGGACACCCCCATGGAGGGCCTCAACCTCCCTGGGGGAAATGAGGGGATATTGGAGGGGTTGGTGGGAGGGCACGGGAGGAGGGGAAGGAAAGGGGGAGGGACCTGGAATTGACATGTGAAGCAACCTTGTTTCTAATTTAAATTTAAAAATAAAATATAAAAAAGAATCTTCCAGTTTAATTAGGAGGATTATTTCATGCTCAACTTCTAGAGATTAACATATTAACTGATAATTTTAGCCTTAAACCTGCCTAGTAAGCAGACAAGAAGGAATATGATGAAGACTTATTGGGCGCTACATTGTATGTCCTTAATTAACATATCTATATGGAGTGATTCAGCGTGTATCAAGTGTCCTGACACTATACTGGTACTATGCTTATGGAGCTTGGATGGTAAAGGTAACCTTTGTCAGTCAGTAAAAAGACTTGTTTCCTGTGACTTCTAGACAACAAAAAATGAATAATTTTGCTTGGCAGAAAAACCAAGTCTTAAAGATCCCATGTATAATTGTACAAATAAACAAGGAGTGGTAGACGAAGGATTGTTTGTGGTTTAAACGACTGATAGCAGAACTGAATTCATAGCTAATGCTCAGTAAGTCCTGATATTTTCCAAAAGACTGGAATGTGAAGATATTTATCTGAGGGAATGGTCTCTGTGAGCTGGGTACTTGGAAGGATTTTACATTCAGAAAGTATGTAAGTTATATGTTAAAACTGATGGTAACTAAATAAAGAATTTGGTTACACAAAATAGAAACCATCTTTGTAATTTAATAAAATTGAGAAATTTATGGAAATGCTCATGAAATCAACAGATATTCTAAGACGTGAATTCAGGAACTTGGGAGATGTGATGACTTCAGATGTCTAACTAGCAAGAGTTATAGTCTCTTGAGCTACGTCCACTAGAATTAATGAATTCAAACCATTTCCAGTCTATTTATGTTGTACTCATGATTTTATTTCCAGGTGTGAAGACAGATATAGTGTTGTCAGGCTCACATGCTTCTTCTTAGAGGAGACCATTCTAACAATCTCAGACCACTGCAGTGAAGGGAGAAGAGGCAACTCATGGAAAAGAAAATGTGTTGACATTCAAGTTGGCACAAATGCTGATTAACTAGCAAACTGAAGAAGTAATGTTTTAGTAAACAAAGAATACACTATTTGGAGAGGACAGTGAAGTCATGAAAGTGGGGTGGCTTTGTATTTCCTCTAGGAAAGGGGTCTCATCTTACATGATGAATTGTCATCTGATCATGAGGGGCATTTGTAACAGACTAAGGGGTGTGGACTTGGTCTTGAGGACACCAGACACATTTGTTACTTTTTAAACTGGTAATTTAAAACATAAGATCTTCTGCTAGAAAGCCAGGCAGTAAGATACAAATTGCATTAAATCAAGATCAAAATGTATTAAAACAAGAATAGACTAGACCGAGAGCTGAAGAAGCCATCTCCAGCCATTTCAAACGTGTGTACCAGAACCCAGGGATGGGTCCAGACTAAGTGAGGTGATGGAAATGAAAGACTTCCGAGACTAGAAGTAGAAGTGACAGCACCACCGGATGGAAGTCTGAGGATTTCAGCCTATCGGAGTCCACTCATAGAAATGGGGGAGACAGGTGGTAGTCTACTTTGAGGTGCAATGAGAAAGGAAGCTGACTTTCTAGATTCATCAATTTCAGGGTACAAAAGGTAAAGGTACCCCTTTAAGGGTCAGTAATGAGGTCAGACTGACAGGCCAGGTCTTATAGTTAGCCTGACTGAGGTAAAACCTTGATGCCTGAAGATGGCCAAGGATACTGAAAACAAGGTCAGAGAGAAATAACCCTAGATAGTTCCAGTCCTTCAGTCAGGGCGTCTACATTGACACTGGTCTCTTACTGGAGCAAACACATGAGCTAGAGCATGTTGCAAATAAACTTCCCTTTTTCATTTTCTGAGAACTGAATTTTCAGCTATGACTAAAGGAAAATAGTGACTTTGAAAATTAGTTTTCTGATATTGAAAGACCTGGGAATATAAGACCCTGTTCTGAAAAGGAAACCCAATGGAAACATAAGGGTTCCTGTGCTAAATAAGTTTAGATTCTTTTAAAGAACAAAATACCTCTTTTTGAAGTGGTTTTGAAGTTCCTATGGAAACTATCTCTTCTAGGTGCATGAAATATGTACAGTTCATTTTTCTGGATGGCTTAAACTTGAGTAATGTCTTTCTAACCTGTTTTAAATCAAAGTATTGTCACATCCCTTTCTTTCCTGAACTTTGTCTCCCTCCCTTCCTATGACATGGCTTTATTGTGAGAGCAGCATCTAAGAGGCTTGCTGAAAGAGGCCTTCAGCCTGGGCCTCCAGCTATGTGGTGCTCTGCATGAGCTGTCTTAATGAGTATTGGAGCAGTATGGGTTAGGTTTTCTATGACTTTTTTCCGTACTGTGCTGAATTAGGTTTCCAGAAGAAAGCTACCCAATTGCCAAACAGTGGCTAAGTGCATGTCATTTCACTGCTGACTCCCTTGTTTCCTGTGGCTGTTCACATTAGATTTGATTTCCCTGTTAAAAGAAAGTATACTTGAAGCAGAACATAGATTATTTTATTAAATATTTATGATGATCTTTCCTAGACTGTAAACTAAACATGATTCCAGTTCAAGGAGTTGGTGGTTAATAACATAAGATTCCTACAAGTTTTTCAGTGTTTTCTTTTCCTGTCCTTTCCAGCCTCTGTGGGTAATAACAGATGTGTACTGAAGTTATAACCATGCTTATTTGAATTTATACAAAGTACCTTCAGGGCTAGGGAGATAGCTCCAGGTGTAAAATGTTCACCATGCAAGCAAGAGAACCTCAGTTCAAATACCCGGAACCATGTAAAAGTAGCATGCAATAGCAGCCATCTACAATCCCTGTGCTCCTCTGGGTAGACACATGGGAGGCATGGGAGAATTCCTGGAAGCTCGCAGCCATCTGTTGTATGAAGCAACAAACAATAAAGAGACCCTAGGTCAAAAAGTTAGAAGGTGAAGTCTGATGTGCAATATTGTCCTCTGGCCTCCGCACATACACTATGGTACACCACACACACACACACACACACACACACACACACACACACACACAATGTAAAGACCGTTCACTCCCCCAGTGTATATCATAGGTCACCAGAGGAGGAACACCTGAGGATGGCACACTCATATAATCGAAGCTTTTCTTCCCTTATGTCAGACAGTGTAGAACTGGAAGGTGAATGGAACATAGTCAGAGATCGATGGTCACAGCTATCAGTGCTGTACCTCCCATATTCCATTCACTTCTTATTCATTACATGATTTTTCCTTTTGGAAAAGCCATGATTTAATGGGACATTCATCCAGCCACTCATTGATTCTGCAATGTCTATGTGTCTAGCAGCATTTTGGTAACAGCAGTGCAGAAATACTCAAAACAGGTAAAACATTTTGTCTCTACAAAGACAGACCGAAACATGTGAAAGAATCTAAGAAAGAACATGAAATCAAATCATGTACTACATCTGAACTCCTGATGTCAGCAGTGTGAGTGGATGGAGAGGTCACATATGTAAAGAGACATCTGGGAAGGTCTCTGAAAAGGATGCGATGTTAAAACTGGATGTGGAAGACAAGGAGCCATCTGGAGGAAAGCTTATGGGGAAAGGAAAATACAGCAGAAGGAACCCTGAAAGTGAATCCCAGAGATGACAAATAACTTTCCCAGAGCTCTGTCACACACAGCGGAGCCAGAGCAGACCTGCTCTGCTCACATTAACACTTTTTAGCATAAACTCTACAACCACCAATTTTTTCTTAGTTATTTGAGGGGAATATTTCACATATTCCTCACTTGGAGTATACGTTTCTTCACAAGTATTGAAGGTTTAGTCGCTTGGTTTTCCTGGGCATATCAATGTGAACCACTGATCATCATCAAATACCAGAAAGGAAGTCTTTATAAAAAGTCTTTCATTCATGAAAATTGACCTTCAAAGGTTCTCATCTAAATGCCACACATACACTGAGGTGTACACATGTACACATGCCTACAGATACACGCACACACACACACACACACACACACACACAGAAAGAGAGAGAGTGAGAGAGAGATTTTTAAATTTTCAAAAGAATCTTTATTTTATTTTAACAAATATTAGTAGTTTTTCCCTTTATTTTTCAATTCACTGATTTTAGTAAAGAAAACTTGTGTTGCAGCACAAAAGCATTATTATAATAGACGACCCTCTGTGATGACCTTCCAAGGAAAGGAAAGACATGACAGTAGTCACAATAAAGGCAATCTGCCTGCTAGGCTGGTCACTCCAACTTCATTCTTCTTCTGAATACATTTCTGGTCACCCCTTTGTTCTCTGTTGGCATCAGTGAAATGAACAGCAGTAACAACTTAAACATATTGTAAATAGCTTCTTAACATTGATTTTTAATAATGATAGAGTATCTCATTATTGAAACGGTTCAATTTTTAAAATGAGAATTAGTTCATCTTTCAAATAATAAAGTACTCAATATTAGCCATCGAAACAAAACTACATATGGTATTATGCTGATTGTTTTAGTTATGTAACTTGGCATCTGTTTCTTTTTCTCTGCCTTTACTTCCTCTGACTGAAGGATCTGAAACTTGAGCCCCTGGAAGAAGAAGTTATTGAAGAGAGCACTAAACCCGTGAGTGATTTCTATATCAGAATGTCAGAAACACATACTTTGAAGGCAAGACTTTAACTAACCTCAAGAACTATTACCCCAATGATAATTTGAAAACTTAAGTAATGAATGAACACTTTTATTCCTTTTAAATTTACCATGGCATTTATTTTTTATAATTTTTTATTTTAGATTATTATCATATGTATTATTTCTTGCTTTCAATAACAATAAAAATTTCATGGCATACAAAAAAGCAAGACAAACCCATCATGAGAATTACTAACTAGTAAACCCAGAAACACAGTATATAGAAAGGTTTCAGAAAAAAATCACAATTTCAGCAATTTTCTAATTATTTTGCACTTTCTTTAAATCTCTTACTAATTTTGGTTGGCTAATGTGGACTTGTGAGGACTTTCATTAGGCACTAGTTGCTTGTGTGAAAGAACTTTTCATGTACAAGATGCAAAATGAAGTTTTATACACTTATAAGACAGTGGGTAATTGTATAATTGTATATGACAGGCAGAGAAGGATACCATCCAGATGTTATCATAAACACCACTAGGCTGAATATTGTAAAGGCATAAGCTGAAACCTAGTCCTGTATACCACTGTATGTCTAGTGCTTAGCTTAAATCTGGGGACTGTTAAATACTAAGAGATTAAGTCATTAGTCTTCAAAATAGCTAAATGGGGGTGTAGTAACATAAGTTATTTTCATAGAAGAAAAAAGTAAGGTGCAGAGAGATTTAAATTTACAGCCACCCTTGGGAAGTCCAACACTGACCTTACACTCACACTCAACAGTCTGGTGACACCATCAATGTGGTGTCTGGTGGATTTCTCACCACTGCAGTAGGGGTACTTGTTGCTAGCAAGGTTGTGAATTAACAGTTTATTGTTTCTGTCCATGAGATATTTTCCCGTCATGAGAACAGATTAGATTAATTGGTGGGCGTGTTGAAACACAGCAAATCTAGACATTTTTGCATGTAACTTTCTGAGCACTGGACCATTAGTTACATCATCATGAATCTAAGATATGGTTTATTTCCTAAGACCGATTTTCCCTATCACCCCCAAAGTCATGGAAGGAAGATCTCATAGACGTTTACCACTTTAGTTGGCTTTGTGAACCTAGGAGAGTGAGCAGGGCCTAACACTGAGGTAAACTAAATCCTCATGGATTAGCCAACTTTATTCAGAGCATCAATTTTTTCAGGCAATTTATACTCTGAGGGTTAAGAAGAGTCACCTGATTAAGGTGTTCAATCACAAGGAAAAGTCACACATGGCAAAAGCATGTTTTTCCATAAAGGCATATGAATAATAACAGCTGAAGTAAAGTCACTCCTTCCGCTACACATGGGAGCAGCAAGAAAGCATATTCTGAGAACAATTCTGTGTTTATAATGAAACTGAGGTCACAAGGCTCTTGTCTTGTTTTCTTGGAGTTTTCTTACAAGCACTGAGAATTCTCACATGAGTTCATTCTTGGACCATGTTCCTACAATAAGACTATTTGGTCTACCTCAATTTTGTGATACAAGTACCACTATTTAAATTTTATATATTCAAACTTAAGAAAAAACAAATACCTTGTAAGAGTGAAGCCAATTCATTTGCAAAAGAAACAGATAGAAGAAAATTCTAAGACTGTCCAGTACTCAAGAGCTCTCAGAGTACTTCAAATCTGCAAAGAATAAATACATGGAATGTGCTTCAGGAAATTCACTAATAGTCACTTGCTAAAAGCAAAAGTATCTTTCGTTTTAATCACCTCACCAAAACAAAAAATTTAAGGACCATCTATGTATCAGTCAATGAAAAGATCTAGAGATAAGTTTGTGAATACTATTCATCAGAAAACAGGTGAGAAGGAAACTAGAAACAATAATAAAATGTGATAAAGAATATTATAGATGAATATACATTTTCACAAGGGGACAAGATCTATTATAGGGGAATATAGAGTGCATCCAGAATTATATATTTAAGACAAAACAACGAAGAAGGGAGTGTAAGAGCCACAGGAGATAGAGGACACCAAGAAAACAAGGCCCTCTAAATCAACATGCTGAAAGCTCTTATGAACTCCTGGAGACTGAGGCAATATGCGCAGGTTCTGCACATGTCTGCCCCAGGTCCTCTGCACTTGTAGTATGACTTCCAGTTTAGTGACTTTTATGGAATTCCTGAGTAGGGAATGAGTAGGTCTCTGATTCTTGTGCCTTTCCTTGGGATCTTTTCGTTCTGTGTTTGTCTTTTCCAATTCCTATATGATAGTTTTTGTTTTGTGTTACTATATTTTATTTTTTATTGTCTCTTAGAAGCCTGTTTGTTTTCTGATGAGAGACAGAGAAGGAGTGGATCCAGATGGGAGAGGAGGTGGGGAGGAACTGGGAGGAGTAGAGGGAGGGGAAACTATAATCAGGATAGATTATGTGATTTTTAAAATCTATTTCCAAAGGAAAAACAGGAAAATAAAGATGTAGTTACAATGTACAAGAAAAGATACTTTACTTCTGAGGACATACTCAGGATAGAATTGTAGTAAGAAGCATGTAGTAAATAGAATAAGAAAATAGTAGAAGATGTTTACTCTAGATACAGTCTAAATAAGTATGCATGCTCCACTAGTTTGCTACTTAGCAACCCAACCCCAAACTTCAGGAACTTGGAAACAATTTTGTGGGTAGGAAAATTAGACAGGGATCAGTGGCATAGTTCTTGTGTCACCCTTGTGGTCCCCTTTAAGTGTCTATGGCCAGCTGTGTATCAGCTTGGCTGGGACTGCCCAAGCCTTGCATACATGTAGAGGTTCAGAACTGCTCTTTGTGGACTTAATGTTTTTTTTTCATAAAGTTGTATTGGAATTGGACCAGTCCCATTCACTTACGCAGTAGCTGTAGTCACTCAATAACAGATTGAGGAGTTGCTATAGGAACCAAGTAACACACAAAGTGTGAAATATTTGCTGTATGTTTACAGAAAACCTTTGTTGACCCTTCAGTGTCAGGTCTTGTTCCCATGACAATCTCAGGGACCTGAGTTGTGCGGGGTTGGAGTAGGGGTGACTAACAGTTCCTTGGGCTCTTATTTGAAACGGTAGAGCACTGTCACTTCTGCAGCATTCGGTTACCCAAAGTGGGTTAGAAAGCTAACCCAGAATCCAGGTGAAGAAAACAGAAATGGGAACTTCCTGGGTGGAGCAGAAGAGTTACATTCCAAGGGGCCTGTAACTTTTGGGGTAGTGAAGACCTCTGGTCATTTTCAGGATTCATCCTACTGAATCATGTAAGGATTGTTTTCAAACTTAAAGAATGGTAGAGAAACAGGTGCATAGAGGTCTAGAGCTCACATCTATACCAAAGATAGCCCCTGAGAAATTCCCGACCCAAGAAATCCTTGCAGATGTCTATGGAAGGACATGTTCATCATCGTGTTGTCGGAAATCAACTCTATTTAGTTATTAGTGCAAAACCAAGTTCCTGGGAGAATCACACAAAGAGATAATTGATCACACAAAACCTTGGGAACTAGTCACAGGTTTGCGTCTTCTGATTTTTGACCTCTGACTCTGAGAGGAAATAAAGCAAAGACCAGTTGGGGTGTTGAACTCAAGTGACTATTTACACTATTAGATGTAGCAAATTTATAGAATGGCTCCAGTTTTCCAATAAAAACCCACACAGTGATTCAGGGGCCCATAGCCCTCTCATCTTGAGTCTCTGTCATTCCCAAGATAGGCCTTCCTCCTACCAACAGGAAAGAAACCTTAAAAGAATGTGATGGCTCAAATCTTTCATAACTTTAGGCTCAAATGTGTTATGTACGACTTCTGTTTGAATACTTGATTAAAAAGAAAAGCATCAAGTGATTGTACCTAAAGAGAAGGTGTGGCAGAAGAGTCCCAAGAACATCTGGAAAAAGAAGGAGTGAACATTGTGGGGTCTAACGATCTAATTCCCACAGGTACCGCCTTTAGAACACACAGAGAACCTCTCTACAAGGGGCCACACAAAGCTCTCTATAGTTACTGCCTTAGCTCAACATCTGGGATCTATGGCTATTATTAAATCCTATTTGTTAGGAATTGGTCTCTGGGGGTGTGAAAAACATGAGAGAAAGACAGACACACAGAGAGAAAGAGAGAGAGAACCACAGTGATCAAACTAGTCTGCAAAGCATGAATGGGGTGGGTGCATGACAAACACACAGCCCTCGCTGCTTGATTACAACAATGAATTCAAGCTGAGAGACATTTTTCAGCTAGGAAATTCTATGACTCGACACTGGGTCTGGATTCTTGGAATAGCCTTGCCACCCAATTGTTTTTGTGAAAAAAATTTTTGCTGGTTCATTAACCTCTGTGATCATCTATAAAAGCCAACTGAAGAAATCACCTTCCTGGGAGTGAGGGGAAGATTGTAGCCTATTCAGAGCCTGTTGAGTGCTCATTTATACTTGTGGACACAAATATAGATCTAACAGCTAACCAGATGAAGAATTTTATTACTGGGTTCAGTATTTCAGTGACAGTGCAATACTGTTTCCTCAAAAAAAAAAGAACTGACTCAAGAAAGCCAGTAACAGAGAGGGAGGACTGATGACCAAAGGGATTAAGACTGGGCTCGTTTAACCCCCAGAAACAGCTGACCTGACAAAGGTTAACTCTTGAATCCCAGGCATCAGCCTGGGAATCCAGCATAGGACCGATCAAGACCCCCTGAATGTGGGTGTCAGTGAGGAGGCCTAGATAATCTATTGAGCCTTGGGCAGTAGATCGGTACTCATCCCGATTATACACACGAACTTTGGACTCCCATCCAACAATGTGAGGTGCACTCTCACCCTGAACTCTTGAGGGAGGGTCTAGGCCCTGCCCTGGATGAAATGACAGACTATGGACACCCCCATGAAGGGCCTCACCCTCCCTGGGGAAATGAGGGGATAATGGAGGAGTTGGGGGGAGGGCACGGGAGGAGGGGAGGGAAAGGGAGAGGGACCTGGAACTGACTTGTGAAGCAACCTTGTTTCTAATCTAAATTTAAACTTAAAAATAAATAATAAAAAGAGAGAAAAAAGAAATGGTCTAACGGTTAAGAATGAATAAAAAATAAAGTAGTGATTCAATATTGGTAATGTATGTAGTTTGCATACAAATAATAGCTATTAAACTGTTGAGAATATCATTTAAGCCACAGGATACTGAGCTACTAGTTTCCTGTTGGCAGTTCTCCATGTAAATGTGGAATAATTCTCTGAATACATATGTATTTCTGTCTCACTTTATTAAACAATTCCATGAAATAGTAAAAAAAACTGATAGACTTATCACAAACTTACATGCCATCAACCTCATAAATGAGCTAAGGTTATTGCCTGGACACAGATTTTTTTTCCACATTATATGTTTTTATTTAAATTAGAAACATGAATGCTTCACATGTCAATCCCAGCTCCCTCTCCCACCCTTCCTCCCTTGTTCCTTCACCAGCCCCTCTAAATCCCCACATAATTCCCCAGGGAGGGTGAGGCCCTCCTTGGGGGGATCTCCAAAGTCTGTCATTTCATCCAGGGCAGGACCTAGGCCCTTCCCCATGACCTGGACACAGATTTTAACCTAATTATTTTGCTAAGTCCTTTAAAAACAAGGAGTTGTGTGTGTGTGTATGTGTCTGTGTGTGTGTGTCTGTGTGTGTGTGCGTGTGTGTGTGTGTGTGTGCATGTGTGTGTGTGTGTGCTGTAGCACTGGGAATTGAACTAGGACTGATGCATTCCAGGCAGGCATTCTGCCACTGAACTAAATCCCCAGTCCTAGAAGTCTGTCATTAACCATCACTGCATACTCAGAACCTTGCATGTAGTATCTCATGACAAAATAGAAAAGCATTTATTGATATCCTGGTCACTGTTCTACTGCTAAGAATAGACACCATGACCAAGCCAACTTTTCTAAAAGAAAGCATTTAATGGGGGCTTGCTTACACTTTCACAGGCTTAGTCTGCTATCATCGTGGCAGGGAGCCCAGGTGCATGCATAGTGACACTCGTGGTGTTGGAGCAGTGAAATCTACTTCTGTATCTGCAGGCAGAGATGGGGAAGAGGGAGAGGCAAGGAGAGGTAGACTGGGTCTGGCTTGGGCTTTTGAAACTTCAAAGCCCATCCCCAGTGTCACAGTTCTGTCAAAAAGGCCACACCTACTTCAACAAAGATACACTTCATCATTCTGTTCCTTTCAAAATAGTGCCCCTCCTTCGGCGACTTCATATGAACCTATAGGGGTAATTCTTATACAAACCCCCACAACTGGATATACTTAGTGCCTCTCATAGTTCTTACAATGCAATCAGTGTTTGACAAGTAACAGCTATTTAACAAGCACTGCGAAATTGTATGGAATAGGGAACAGAAGATCAGGGGTTTAACTGTATTCACTATGCTACGTGGCTAGCAGCATTGGGCAAGTTTTGTTGGTATTCCATATAATTCTTGTGAGTTGCGTTTTAAATTTGCTTTTGCACTTTTATGATGCTTATTTTCATACTTTTTAAGTTTTTCCCCTCAATCCTTGCAGAAGAAGAAAGGATTAATATTGAGACCTATACTTCCACGAGGCACTGGGGCAGGTCTCTAGGGAATTGTCTAGGAAACTGAAACCACAATTATTATAATGGTAATAAGATTTTTCAGGAATAGAGGTTAGTAGCAAAGCCACTGTGAGCCATTAAACTGGGGATAGTAGCAACTTTTCTTGTTGCTACGGCAAAATATTTGACAAAAGCAACTTAAAGAAGACCTGACTATTTATTCAGCCTTATTGTTTTGAGGTTGTACTCCATCATGACGGAGAAGTAGTAGAAGCAGGCTCAGGATGCGGCTGGCGCTATTATGTCCACAGACTGGAAACAGAGACTGATAAGTGCTGGTGTCCGGCTTGCTGTCTCCTTAGTCTGGGACTACAGCTCCGGGAATGGTGGGCAACAGTTAAGCTGGGTCTTACCTGCTAAATTAGCCCAATACAGAAACTCCCTCACAGACCATACCCAGAGGTTTGTCCCTTAGGTGATTCTGGATCTGGTCAAGTTGACAGTACAGAGCATCACACAGTGTTAGAGCATACGGAGTAGCACATGTTGTAAATGGGTAATATTTGATAGCCCTTTAATCGCCAATGCAGCATTGGAAATGCAACGGTAAGCCCACATTTTTAAAGCAAATTTGATTGTAATGACTATCACAGTATCTGATATCTGAAAAGTATCCAAGAAGCTATGCGGATTACGATGGAACTTCTCTTTAAAACTTGGTATCTTTCGGGCGGTGGCAATGATTCAACAGCATATCAGAGGCACTCCGCACTCCGGGAAGTTTTTAGGAGACCAGTGCCTGGGTCAGCCACCTCCGCCTCACAGAGACTGACTCTTGAAAGCTCCTCCGTGATTCTAATTGCATCCCTTGCTTAATTTTTAAAGAAGAAACCGCCTCGGTGCAGAGCGTTTCTTTAGCTTCTGTTGCTATGTATTTGGTGGCTTTTGTTTGACTTGAGAAGGAATAGTCAAGTCTTTCCCTGGTCAGTTTCTGGCTGGCAGTCGTGTTTGCAAGCTCCCTTTCCTCTGCAGCACATCATGCTCGTGCAGCGCCAGATGTCCGTGTCAGAAGACGATCTGGAAGAGTTCCAGCTTGCTCTGAAACACTACGTGGAGAGCGCCTCAGCCCAAAGCGGGTGCCTGCGGTAAGCGTTCAAGTGCAAGCCCCCACTAGCTCTACACAGGTGGTGAACGTGAGAGTTAGGTGAGGGTGCAGGAGCCAGAGCACAGGCATCTCCAAATCCTCGTGTTTTGCCCTGCAGAGCAGTCCTGTCCTGGCATTTGCAGAGCTTAGCAGGATATTTTCTGTGTGATCTTTGAACCAGCGTTGATTTAATCATTAGGCTTACCGAGACCAATAAAGCGGAGAGCCATCTGGATGGGAAGGGTTTCACATAGATTGCAATGTCCTCTTTGCACACAGGCCACCAGCATGCATTGAGAATCATGTGTAGACAAGGCTCCTACTCACGGCTGTGTGACCTCCACAACCCTGTGGACTAATGACCACTTCCACGATTGTGATAATAGCAGGGCTCTCCAACATTAAGATTTCAGACCTTGATTGTTTCAAAAAAGCAGCGGCAACATCTTTCTTTCTCCCTTCATTCCATGGCTTTCTCTCTACTGTTGTATAAAACTCATAAATTATGCTACACCTCTGTAATTTTTTACTACCACTGGTCCAGTAAAACAGTACTAGAATAGTTGTCCACAAACTGCTTTGGGTGCCAGAGTAGCCCCAGCGAGAAGGAACCTGCTGTGGGCAGGTCAGAGAGGTAATAGGTGAGGCATGTGATGCTTGCAGCAAGCCTTTCAGAACCATGAAGAAGTGCCCCTGCTGGAGGAGAGGACCACTTCCTGAAGGATGGGTTTCCAGCCTTGGCTTCTCCTTCACAGCACTCGTGTTTCTTAGCAGTTATTCATCCACTTAGGGCTGACTCTTCAGTTCATTTCTCTTGCAGGAATGGTCAGAATATATATGAGTATGAGAAAATGACCACACAGGTGGAACGCCCTGTGGAAACATCAGTGTTTCAGATGTACCAGTTAATCAGTTACAGTTCTCTACGTATGGACGAATCATCAAATGCCACTCATGTCAGCAGCTGCGATCTTGGGCACCCTCCACACCTGCCTGGTGCTGAGCTGTTGCCGCTCTGTGAATTAGCAAACGTTTTAGATTTATTTCCCACAATGCTTAGCTAATTCTCCCCATGCAAGACACAGAGTGCTGCCATGGGTGATGCCTTACAAGATTAGCAATTTTCATATTTAGTTTTCAAGGTTATCATTACAGGCATATATTACATCCAGTTTAGGCTCTGGTGTGTTAAAAACTTGCTCAAGCTTCACTCAAAACCATGCTTAATCTTCCTTGTCAGGATTTAATCATAGCTGAATTAAGGATTCCTGAACATTTTTGGTTAACTAAGGGTGGGATACATACACAAGATCCTTCCTGTTCCAGTTAGGCTAGGAATAACCTTGCTAAATTCAAGCAACTGAATTAGAACTTTTTCTCTGAGTATTCATTAATAAATGTGTAAGTTTGAGGACTCACAGAGATTTGGTTACAGTATTCTGTCAACGGTACTTTAAAGACCACGGGGAGGGCTGACAAGTTGGCTCAGTGGGTAAAGGTGCTTGCCACCAAGCCTAGTGATCTGAGCTCGATCTTTGAGTTCTGCATGATGGAAGAAGAGAACTGACTTCCACAACTTATCTCTGACCTCCACATACCTATGCTGGTGTGCATTCATAAACACACACACACACACACACACTCATGTGAGTGGGTATATAATGTTATATTATTACATGCTGCTGGCTTCCTCTGCAATTACAAATTCTCAATACCTTTTGTGAGAAAATCACCAGCTCAGTAAATGATCTGTGCTCGTAGAATCACCCTTGATGCCAGACAGGAAATAGCTTCTGCCTTCGATGATTTTATCATCTGACTTTGGAAACGGGCTCCTTACTCATAAAGGTCAACAGCAATTCCAATCATATTCTTGTCCTAAAATTCTAGGTTTTTTAATAGAATTGATCTCTGAGACTACTTTCAGTTACAAAGCTCGGGAAATATAACATGTTCATATTTCCAATGTCAAGGACCCAGGAAATATTACTGTGGATTATATTGCAAAAATCACTCTTGAGACACCCTTACGTGGGGTGGGGTGCATTGAGGCATCAGTCATCAATCTGTATGGATAAGATAAAATATGGTGGCCAAAGCTAGACCCGGATGTAGAGAAATGTGGGGAGTGTGTCCCTCCTGTTACATCGTTTTTTTTTTCATTCATTTGGCCCTGTGGTAATGCAGAGCAGGCACGTGGAGAAGGAAGGAAGCTAAGAGTAAGGGAGTCCACTGCATCCTCATAGAACCATTTCAGAGAGGGGGAAACTGAGGTTGAGTAATGGGCCAAAGGTGGCACACTTATTGAGTGGTAGTTCTACTGGGACATTCTTTGGCCCACTGTCCTATCACACCACTATATCCCTTCCTCTTTAATCCTCCACCCCAGTCTTCCACAAGCCTGGGCATTGTGCTGACATGTGACTTTCACTGGGAGGGCAATACTAGAGATCAAACACAGGATCTCACCTGCTACACAAGTGTTCCACCAACGAGTACATCTCCAAGGCTTGATGGCCTGAAGGATATCTCACCACTTAGTCAAAGCTGGTCTCAAACTCAAGATCCTGCTGGAATTACAGGCTTACAGGCCTTTCTGTGCTAGTCCAGAAAATGTAACATTCTCATAGTACAATAACTGGGAATTTAATATAATGAGTAATATCAATAACTCGTTTGCAGAAGGCAATTAATGAGGGGCCTGAAATGCTAAGCTGGGTGTTCCAATCTTTATTCTAAAGAAAATAGGGTTGAAATTTGAGCATTAGGGAAACCTCCAAGACACTAAATAAGCTATAGATTCTCATCCCAGGAAAAAGTATATATGCACATTAATTTGCAAACCACTATTGAGGTTTATGGAAAAAGTCACAAAGCTTACCTATGAACTCATGGAGTAAGAAATACTAAGTCCTATTGTATTATTATCACACAGCAATTATTTATTCAGAAAAATCTTAAGTTGAGCTAGTAACATTAGTAAATCATGCATAATGAAGCAAATTACATTTTAAAATATGAAAAATACCATACTACAAAAATAAGCAAAACACCCTCTATTCATGCTCCACACTGCCATGAGCAGCATCTTTTAAAACAAAAAATATTTTTAAAAATCCTTTGTGTAATTACTGCCACCTGCTGGTCACAAGCAGATCCTAAATCCTAAATCTTCATTGATCATTTCACTGGAAAATGCTTATTTTTTTTCTTTTGATCCTTTATTTTGCTACCTAGTTTAAATATAGAAGATTAGACTAAAAAGATAACCTTTAAGAATTGTTTTTAGCCGGGCGGTGGTGGCGCACGCCTTTAATCCCAGCACTCGGGAGGCAGAGGCAGGCGGATCTCTCTGAGTTCGAGGCCGGGCTGGACCGATAAGCCTCCAAAACAATACAGAGAAACCCTGTCTCGTAAAACCAAAAAAAAATTTTTTACCATGCATCACACTTTTGTCTTTTTTACACAAGCTCATGAACGCATGGGCCTGTCCCTCCATTCTTGTTTCAGGGTTGGTCGAGTCTTCTTCCTCGCCTATTGCATTCAGCTTTCCTCTGTGCTTTACCTGACTGTCCTCCGTTATGCGCCACACTGCTGTGAGCAGGGTATTTTATTTATTTGGTTGGTGAGTTTGGTTTTTCCAGACAGGGTTCCCCTGTACCTTTGGAGCCTATCCTGGAACTCACTTTGTAGACCAGGCTGGCCTCACACTCACAGAGATCCGCCTGCCTCTGCCTCCTGAGTGCTGGGATTAATGGCGTGTGCCACCAATGCCTGGCTGAGCAGTATATTTTAAGTAATTTTTAACAAATTTTGGCACAAAAAAAAGATACTTGCTAAAACTTTTGAATGGGGATTGGGGAGATGGCTCCACAGTTAAGAGTACTGACTGGTCTTCCAGAGGACCCGGGTTTGATTTCAAGTATGGTGGTTCACAACTGTAACCTCAGTTTCAGGGGAACATAATAACCTTTTCTGACCTCCAGGGTCACTAGGCAAGTAAGTGGTGCACAGGCATACATGCAAGCCAAACACAAATAATAAACTAAGAACTTTTTAAATAAAAGTTATCAAAGATAGTAAACTAAAAAGTATATGCCAAAGTAGGTGCACTGGGCTACTCTTGATAAATCCATTTGGTAGTCTGACAAGCTTAAATTACTTTGTTTCCTATACATGCAGGTAACATTGTTGCATAATACATAGAGATTAGAAAATTTGGTTCACTTTTGTCTGTGTGCCCACTGTGGGTGGTTATGGATATGTGTGTGCACACTGGTACACAGACAAGGGCTTGAGGCTGTTGAGAGTCTTCTTTGGCTGCCCTCCACATTATTCACTGAGGCAAACTTAGCCAGCCTGTGACGAGGATCGTACAACTTGTCACTTATGCTTTGCCCTCTGAGCCATATCCCCAACCCCTCCTTTGCTTCTTTAATTTCCAGGGCCCAATCATGTCTTTTCTATTTCAGCATTTCTATACAGAAGCTTTCAAATGAATCTCGCTACATGATTTATGAGTTCTGGGAGAATAGCAGTGTGTGGAATCGGTAAGTTGCAAGGAAAAATGACTTCTTCTATTAAATGTGGGTGTGGCAATGTACAACTTTGTACCATGTATTTTTGCCTACTTTTTTGATGCTAGAGATTGAACCATGGCTTCTAGCATGCTGGGTAAGTGCTCTGTCACTGATATATCCCAGCTTCCTTCTGACTTTATGCTTTGAAAATAGGATGGGTAAGTTGTCCAGGATGATCTTGCACTTAACTCTGTAGCCCAGTCAGGCCTTGATTTGAAATACTTTTCCTTCAGCCTCAAGTATCTAGGATTCCAGACCTGTGCCACCAGATCTGAGGTATATACCTCATCTTAAAATCTGTCTTCCTGTTGAACTGAACTTATTTCATAGCGTCAGATAATGATCCCACTCTGAGTTTTTGCATTTTACTGATGTTCTTAGTAAAGCAGAATTAGACAATGGTCATGGGTGTCTCAGGAAGGAGAAGTGATGGGGGTGTGAAGTTTCATAAAATATAAGCTCTGTGGATATCGGTTTGTTGTATTTGAATTTAAAACTATACGCATTGGCTAATATAACTTTTTAAATGTCCTTAAACTTTAGATATAAAGGAATAAAAGACATTGAAAAAGCTGGAAAATCAACTTTGAAAGTAAAAATGATCAATAACAAATATGCAATTTAAAATGTGATGAACTTTTTGTTATTCTAACCCACAAACAGTTCTGATGGTTTTTGGTAGTACACAAAACATAGCTCTCCAATTATCAGTGTTTTAGAGTACTAAATATGGAAATAAAAGAATACTGGGAAATTCAACTGACTCCTATTTCACCTTAAATTGACATTTCTGTGGCTTCAACAAACAGTGTTGGGATGTTGCTCAATGGTAGAGTGCTTACCCATTGATAAATAATTGAAGCATTCTGTGCTATAATGAAGACACAATAGCAACAATGTTATTTCAGGCAGAATCCTGGAAGGAACCTTAGCTCCAAGCATATCGGTCTTCTTAAAGATGAGATTTTTATTCTCTACTGATGGAAAATTTACACTTGTTGTTTTCAGATAGCCTGTTCTTTAAGCATGCAGATATTAAAATTCTTTCATTTGTGCATTTCTCCTGGAATTTAGCCTACCCTCCTATTGTTGGGTGTTTTGTATGCTTATCTTAAATGCCCTTTCTTCTAAAATTCTGATGACAATAATTACTCTTCAGGCTCTATTAAAATTTAAATAAGCATCTAGAGCAAACTATATCTGGTCAATTAGTTAAACCACCCCCAAATCATGACATCTTGGTAGAATTTGATCTCCGCTGTACTCTACTTGGGAAGGCTTTAAACAAAAATGCGCAATTTTAACCTACAATCATTTCACAGCCACCTCCAGACAAATTACAGCAAGACCTTCCAGAGAAGCAATGTGGATTTCTTGGAAACTCCAGAGCTCACATCTACTATGCTAGTTCCTGGTAACTACCCTGGAGCATGTGTAGTGCTTCTGTGTGTTTCTCACCACCTTTTATTTTTAAGATAGCATGATATCCCACATTCTATCAATGGCACTTTCTTTACTGTTCCTTCATTCAAAATTTGGGGAGAAGGGGAAAATATTTTATTGTCTTTTGTCTTTAATGACTGCTTATTTCTAGCTACATTAAACCTAGTACTGGTAGCTGCTTGGGCACCACAATTTTAGCAAAATTTAGGTGCAAGTCAACTCATATACTTCAAAAATCTTTAAATGCTTTACTATATTCCAACTAGTATGCTGAATGTAATTTGAAATAAGTGATCACAGCAGGATTGTTAGAGTGTTGGAAAAGTTCATTACAATAGTTGCTAAAATGATTTTTGTAACTGGGAGAAAGAAGAATGGAAGGAGAAATTGCCTAAGAAGCCCGGGCAAAACTTAAGATTACTGAGAAAATTCATTTGCTGTCTACCCATCCACCCAGCTACACACTGTACATATGCTTACTGTGTAATAGTGTGTGCTAGGTACAGGGGTTCCTGAGATGCTTAGTCTATTTACTGAAACCAGCTGGGATCCTGCTCTGACCAAGCATTTTGCTAGAAGCTAACAGATGTACAAAGTAAAAACATAGTCTGTAAGGGTAAAGTGTTGTCTATCCAGTATCACAAAAAATTTACAAAGGGCATATATTTACATAAAAACAAAACACAGTTCAAGGCACAAACTAGTAGTTACCACTAGAGGTAATAGATGCTTAGTAGACTTAAAGAAGTTATCCTACTCAACTTTAAAGTGGAGACTATCTTAATTAGGTATGTAAACAACAATTTAGAGTCCTTGGAGGTTTTTTAAAATGGATGACAACATGGTCCAATCAGTAATAATGAACAGGATGGACAAAAGTAGCCTTCATAGAGTGGAATCTAACCAAGCAGGACAATGACCTATATCAAGGGAGAAAAGAACCTACACCAAGAGCCTGCTGGGATTCCAGCTGCAGACGCAGTGTCTATCCACAGCAGCACGGTAGGATCAATTGTGAGTGAAGACATGAGCAGATAAGAGCAGAACATCTGAAAGAGGCCTGGAGAAATGTCTTTCAGTAAAAGATCTGCTGAGGAAGAAGAGCTACTTTATTAAGGAGAACAAGGGGCACCATCCAGGGGAGAAGAACCAGAACAGGCAGGATAATATCAGAGTGGAATGCGAGGATACCATGCTCTGTGGGGCATTCATGCTGAAATGATTGGGAAAAAATGACACAGAAAATGAGAATTGACAAGATCATTACTAAAGAGAAGAGTCTTAATGGAGTGGTAGGGCTCTGATGCATTGAGAACCAGATGGGAGATAAGGCAATGAATTCTAGGACTGCAGCTGGTTGAGGAGACAGGAGGCCAGGAGGGATAGCCTTCAATTTAGCTGATCCTCACAGTCTAAGGCAGAGTTTTGGTGTGCCAATAGAGCTCCTGGGCGGACATGTGTACAGAATTTCTCTTGCCGGATAGCTGGCTTAATCCTCAAACAAACAAAAAGAACCATGGACATGGATGAGTATCTCAGGTTTTGCAGTTTGACTTGGTTTATATTGCAAGATGCTATAGTTAGGGAAGGCCAGGAAGGTATGGTGACAAGTTATGAAGAAAGAGACTGAGGCAGCCACATTCTATTTATCTAGCAAGGTTTTAGCTTCACTGTTATAACAAGCTTGAACGTGCTGTTCTAAACAGGTTCAGCCTAGTATACAAATAAATGATGTAAATAGGACTGGCACAGCCTTTGTTGATAGAAGATAGGGAAACAGTGCTACCATTTATCTGCTCATCTTTTCTTTAAGGCTATACTGCTACTATATTACACAAAACAGTGAAACTTTTCTGATAGATGAAGACCTTCTATATCACAGAAACACTGACTAAACATGCAAATCTCCAAGGTCTGATTTTAACACTTTTGTGTTTGCCATCTTATCCATTTTCAATTCTCCCAAAACTAAGCCCATTGGTTCAAAAGAGTGAAAGCACTGTGTTCTTTTTGAGGTCTTGAGTCTATCCAGTCAGAAAAAAATATGGGCAAAGATAGAGTAGAAAAACAATACAGAAAGGGGCTCATGAGTTAACAAGAAGGGTGGAAGAAATGCTATTGCAAGCATTGTAAATGTAAAATAACCTAGTAAGTTTTATGATCCAGCTTCAGCATTATTTTGGATGAACTTTTGATGTGACGAACTATTCCATCACTGACACATGCATTCATTCTCTGCTTCACTGTCTCTCGGTGTTCTCTCATTTACAGAGAATGAAGCTGAATCAACTCTCATTCTTAGACGCTAATAAACTTGATGCAATTAAATTTCTGTCCAACTTTACTTTGATTTCCATATCACACCTAATCTCAACAATGAAAAATGGAACTTAACAGAACATTAGGAAAAGTTAGTCTTGGCTTCTAACACAAATTCAAACTTACTGCAAACAAAATTGTAACATTCCTTGGAGCATTCCACCTATTTTAAAGTTTCCTACGTGTGACTGCAGGAACGCAAAGTACATCCCTCTAAGCAATTAAATCCGAATGCCAACTGAAGCATACTGAGATACAGCAATGTTGGCCCACTGACCATCGTAAACCATACAGACAGCAGAAGTTAGGTACTCAGCTTGGGAGCCAGAATATCCTTACCATAAGGCAAGAAGGTACACAAGAAAGTAAGGTCTGAGTGCAAGCCAGTCAACAGCTTTAAAACACAGATTACTCATCTGCCTTTACCACAGGTGCCAGCAACCATACTTTTTTGTCATGGGTTATGTTCAGGTATTTATATTCATTGGGAAACACATTTCTAGTGCTGGAATATAAACATATTAAAAATACTGTTTATATTACATCTATTTGCTTAGACTCAGACTTCCTGAAGTATGTATGTAGGAGTACCTTATGTTATTTGCTAACAACTGCTAGTATTGGGTAGATTGCAACATGACTCATCATTAATGTGTTGATAATCTTGCTACAATAAACATTATTCATCCATAACAGAAAAGTCTTAGACAACAGCGAACAAAAACCTACAGTATAATAGTTACACAGAAATAAATCAATATCCCAAAAAGTCTAGAATTGAAACCTAGAAAAAGTTATGCAGCCTGAAGATGAAGGGAATGACCTCTTTACAGTTTGGCTTTCTATGCCTTAAAAACACATTTTCATTATTTCTTCTTCTTTCAGCTTCATGGTGGATCCTGAACAACAATTAGATGTCCCTACACACTGTCTTTATTGTTCCAAGTACAAGTGTTCTTATCTAAAATGCAACCTGGAAAGTTCTCTGTGGTTGTCAATTGCACACTTTTGTTCAATGTGTTTACTGTAAGTACACTATCCTGAAGTATATTCTGTAACTATTTTCAAAGTTTATTGTTACTCTTGATAATTGATGCTAATTTATACATTGTAATCAGTCTTATAGCAAAATCTTAATATATAAAATGGTATATAGGTAATAAAATTGTGATAATTATGGTAAAAATGCTAAGAACTTCTAGAGCATCATAGAGCAGGGTTTGTAAGCAGGCATATGCTCCAAATGATTACATCTGTGCTTTGTGACTTTTTTTAGTAATACATTTTCCTGTGACAGAAAAATTCTTCTTCAATAAGGTCCACATGTTCATCACATGGTCTTCCAACAATTTCCTTTATAATTCCTTTAATATTAACATAAATGTAGAAAACAAACTTGGTTTTAGCCTGTAGAAGCTCTATCCATGTGTCATACTGTAAAGTGATATTTTGCAAGTGAACACTCTGTAGTAACTTAGGGCATTTACTAATGTGACACCTTTGTTAGTATCACAATTTAAACATTATTGAGCAAACTTAAAGTTTATGGCAGAAGCCTTTAGTATATAATTCAAATAGCTGACTATTCTTATAAAAAAGGACACTTGCATATAAATGAAGATTTTTGAAACCATTACTTTAAATCTAAAATTTCAACTAAAGAAATTTAAAACAAGCACAAAATTTTAATACTGAATAAACCTATTTTATGGGCTTTCCTGATAAACTACACAGCTTATCTACTCTCCTCTATAAACTCTGGTTATAGACTCTGCTATGAAAATACATATAGAACTATTACCATGTTATTCTCTCATACAAATGTCTTCAAAATGCTGGGTCTTAAGGGGGAAAAACATGTAAAATATTATAGTATTTTGTTCTTTTTCTTTTGGTTTTGCTTTTTGAGACAAGGTTTCTCTGTGTAACATCCCTGGCTGTCCTGGAACTCACTTTGTAGACCCAGGTGGGCTCAAACTCACAGGGATCCACCTGCCTCTGCCTCCCGAATGCTAAGATTAAAGGTGTGCTCCACCACTGCCTGGTAGTACTATGGTATTTTAAACAAGTGGAAAATCTAGGGAAAGACAAAGCTTGAATGAAAATTTAATTTCATAAATATGAGACTCAATCTAGAATACTATCTCATAATTTATGAGACATTAATTTATTGAATACTTTTGTATAATTTCCGTACTTATCTATTTTCATAGTGTGTTGGACCAGAGGAGCACATTTTTACTTACACACACACGCACACACACATACACACACACACACACACACACAATGTGTATATGTATATTCAAATCTTAAGATGACAAACATTAAAAAACAGTGCCTGGCACAACTCTTTTGGTATAGACATGCAAGGCAAAAATGCTAATGGAGTTTTTATATAATGATTGTTGAGACAAACTATACATTGTGTGAAAGGCAAAGATAGCAAAGCAGTCTTTGTGGTCCCACTGTGATTACACACCATAAAGTCCTGAAACCCAGGAATCTTTCCAACATGTACATGCTCCTTGGAAATGCTTGTCATAAATGATTTCAAAATATAAGTTACAGCCAATGGAAACATTGTCTTAACTGGCCCACTCATATCCAACCCAAAAATTCTATCATGTGTTTTGCATACTGGGTAGCTCCCAAAGTAGCACAGTAGTCTAACTGAAGAGGATCTCGGCCCAGCAACAGAGTTTGGAGAAAGGTCCTTTGGCTACAAATTGTAATAAGTTTTATAAATATATTAAACTAGAATCAAAGGGACTTAAGAAAAAAACAAATAATTAACCAATTAAGTATGGCCAATCTTGTCTCGGCTATTATGCATATATTTATGTATTTGGTTTAAGTGTGTGTGTGAATATGTATGAAAATGCATACATATTCACAGTAGATCCTATAATGAAAAAGAGAACCGTAGGAGGCAACACACACAATGATGCCATCCATAGTATACATTATCTCATTTCATACACAACGATGCCATCCATAGTATGTGTATATATATAAAATTTCAAGCAAGCAATACATTTATGCCTAATGAACAGATTTTGTTTTTGTTTTCTATTTTAAAAAATCCTTTCTTTCAGAAGCAAACCAATGTAAAATAAGGTACAAAAAGGCCAGTCTGGTAAATCTCCTCTGGCAGAGGCGCTAGGTTTGGTACTTCACATTCAGGAGAAACAAGGACAAGGTTGCTGCTACTAGTAGCCTCCAGTAACTTCCAGTGGCCCCAGAACACAAGAGTAAAGGAGTGGGTTTATGCTTACCTTTTTGTCTGCAGTATTTCTGACACATTCCATGCAGTTTAGTGCATTAAATTTCTAAGAATTAAAAGTTTAATCCTCAAAATTCTTAATCCATATATATTCTTATGTGAAATTATAGAATTGAAACTTAATGTACATCAATTGTTTGCAAATGCCTGCATTTGTCCTCTTTTGGAAACAATATCAATTTTACTTTCCAACTCTTTGACTCTCAATCATATGGTCTGATGAATGACATTAAGTATCAGCTACTTTTCAACTTTAATTTCACTAACTACCACTTCAAATGTTTATCTCTGCTCGGCGTTATGGATCTACGACCATGTTGTTCTTAAGAACCTAGAGAACAATCAATCACGTGTTTGAAGTATCTATCAGAAAGGCTTCCCCCTGCCATTGTGTCTATCAGAAAGTCTTCCCCCTGCCATTGTGTCCATCAGAAAGTCTTCCCCCTGTCATTGTGTCCATCAGAAAGTCTCCCTCCTGTCATTGTGTCCATCAGAAAGTCTTCCCCCTGCCATTGTGTCCATCAGAAAGTCTTCCCCCTGCCATTGTGTCCATCAGAAAGTCTTCCCCCTGCCATTGTGTCCATCAGAAAGTCTTCCCCCTGTCATTGTGTCCATCAGAAAGTCTTCCCCTGTCATTGTGTCCATCAGAAAGTCTTCCCCCTGTCATTGTGTCCATCAGAAAGTCTTCCCCCTGCCATTCTGTCCATCAGAAAGTCTTCCCCCTGCCATTGTGTCCATCAGAAAGTCTTCCCCCTGCCATTCTGTCCATCAGAAAGTCTTCCCCCTGTCATTGTGTCCATCAGAAAGTCTTCCCCCTGCCATTGTGTCTAACAGAAAGTCTCCCTCCTGTCACTAACAACTGCGCTTTAAGCATGCTGAATCATTCCAAGTCTCTGGAGACATCATAATGATCTGTTTAAGTGATGGTGTGAAATCATTTGGAAAAAGAACAAGTAACATTGGCTTTGTGGGCAACAAAAATTATATACCATATATACATTGTAGCAAATACTTTATATTTGAGAATCTTTACAGCTTACATTTCCATTCCATTATTACAAGTGATGAAAAACAAGAATTGCAAGTAGCATGCAAATTATAATACAGTCTTCCCACTTCGCCAACAACATCCCCACTTTCGAGTGTTACTTCCCAATTTTCGCAGGAACTACCTGCAAAGTTGAAACTGATTAGAAAAATTCTTTATAGTTTAAATATCTCTTTCTCATTTTATGAGAAACCAAATAGCCAACCATCAAAAGTAAAAATAAATTGAATCGTCACAGTCCATTAGTTATTATTACTAGGTCCACTTCATTTGCAGGTGTCCAAAATATAAAATGAATAATTCTTTATCTTCAAATTCATCTGTTCTTAAATGCTACTTAAAACTTTGGTTGTTTTCCTGTAACATAGAAGAAAGATAATTTATCAATTAGACTTACTGAATACAGTTTTCACCAGTTAGCTTATTCAACCAAATACTATGAATCTACTTCTATGTAAATGCATGTTACTATAGAAACTATTAAAGTAACTGGAACTATCAAATACATTTGTGTTTCAGCAAACCTATGTAATCCATTTTTAAATATAGTAAATTGTATTCTAAGTTTGTTGTTCTGTTTCTGTGATACCTAGTTTTAAAAATACTGTTAATGCATAAAGCAAAATAAGCAATTCTACTGAACATTTATCCAAAACAAGTTTGTCAAGCTTTTATTAACAAAATAAAGTGTTAATGATTTAAGCCTGGAAATAAAAAGTGATTGTGTTTTATGTAAAACTGAAATTTATATTTATTCTTTTTTCCTCTTTCTTATTTTAAATTTAAGTTAGAAACAAGCTTGTTACACATGTCCATCCCAGATCCCTCTTCCTCCCCTCCTTCCCCACCGTCTTCACCAGGCCCCCCAGCCCCCCAGCCAATCTGTACTCCAATATATATTTATTCTTATAGACCAAGAAATTATATGTCCCCTTAATCTTCAAACAGATGATAAAGTGCTAGTATTTAATACCTTTTCCTTTACCAAACATTCCTTTCTTAAGAACATTATTAAAATGCATTTGATTTGAAAGAAAAGGCTAGTGAGCTAGTGAGACGATGAAGTGAATAAGGTGCTTGCTGCTGATCTCTAGAACCTACACAGTGGGAAGAATAATAACTCCTGCATAGCTATTTTCTGACCTCTGTACATATGCAGTGCCAGGCATGCACACACACACACACACAACAAATAAAATAAAAATATAATAAAGGTGTTTAACTAGCTGGGGGCACCTAAGTTGTTAGGGAGCTTAATTGTGGAATATTGATATAAACAATGAATATAAACAGCAGTAATTTGTAGTCAAGGAAATACATTTATTTATAATGGGGGTTTATATGTGTGTGCCAACTGAAGCACAGATACACATGCATAGAGATCAAATGGGGATGCCAAGTTTCTTGGTCTGTGACTTTCACCTTATTCTCTTGAGAAAGGTTGTGTCACTGAACTTGAAACTTGGCTGACAATAAGCAAGCCCCAATGACCCTCCTATTTTCATAGGCACTCACAATCAGCTTTTTATATAGGTTCTGAGGATTCAAACTCAGGTCCTTATGCTGGTGCACCAAGTGCTCCTGCCCAGTGAACCATCATCCTAGCCCCATGAATGTGAAAATGGCATAGATTTCTAAGACTTAAAATTTTAAAAAGAGGTCTGGAGAGAGAGCTTACTGGTTAAGAGCACTTGACTGCTCTTCCCAGAGGTCCTGAGTTAGTTCCCAGCAACACATGGTGACTCACAACCATCTGTAATGAGATCACATTCCCTTCTGGTGTTCATGAAGACAGAGCACTCTTATAGTTAAAATGCATGAATAAATAAATCTTTTTTTAAAATTCCAAAAAGAAGAAAAGGAGCTAGATAGTATTCTCTACCCCATGGTGGAACTTTTCTCAGCAAACTTACAGTACTGAGTCTCACCTTAAAGTTATAATAAGATAACTGGAGGATATCAAGAGGCTACAGATTGGAAAGGAAGAAGTCAAAGCATTGCTAGTTTCAGATGGCAAGATAGTATACATAAGTGACTTGAAAAATTCTACCAGTGAACTACTACACCTGATAAACACCTTTAGTGAAAGGACTGGATAATATATTAATTTAAAAAATCAGTAACCCTCCTATGAAAAAAAGGCTGAGAAAGAAATCAGGCAAACAACACCCTTCAAAAAGTCACAAATAATATAAAATACCTTGGAGTAACTCCACCCAAGGAAGTGAAAGACTTGAATGACAAAAACTTGAAGTCTTTGAAGAAGATATCACAAGATGAACAGACCTCCCATGTTCTTGGATTGGTAGGATTAACATGGTAAAACTGGCCATCTTACCAAAAGCAATCTACAGATTTGGTATAAATCCCATCAGTATTCCAGCATAATTCTTTATAGACCTTGAAAGGGCAATACTCAACTTCATATGAAAAAAACAACAAAAAATCCAGGATAGCTAAATAAATAAATCCTGTACAATAAAAGAACTTCCAGAGATATCACTGTCTGTGATTTCAAACTGTACTACAGAGCTATTGTAGTAAAAAACCATATGCTGCTGGGTGTGGTGGTGCACGCCTTTAATTCCAGCACTTGGGAGGCAGAGGCATGTGGATCTCTGTGAGTTCCAGACCAGCATCTTCAACAAATGAAACAAATGATGCTGCTCCAACTGGATGTCAACATGTAGAAGAATGCAAATAGATCTATATTTATCTCCCTGGATAAAGCTCAAGTGCAAGTGGATAAAAAGCTCAACATAAAACTAGAAATACTGAACCTATTAAAGAAAAAGTGGGGAATAGTCTTGAATGCATTGGCACAGGAGACAACTTCTGAACAGAACACCAATCATGCAGGCACTAAGCGCAACAATCAATTACTGGGACCTCATGGAAACGGAAACGCTCTATAAGGCAAAGGACAATGCCAACTGAACAAAATGGCAGCCTATAGAATGAAGGTTTTCAGCAACTCCACATCTGACAGAGCTAATATCCAAAATATATAATGAACTCAAGAAACCAAACAACAAATCAAATAAACAAATAGTCTGGGGTGCAGATCTAAACAGATTCTCAACAGAAGAATCTTAAGTGGCTGAGAAATGCTTTTAAAAAGTGTTCAACATCCTTAACAATGAGGAAAATACAAATCAAAATGACCCTGAGATTCCATCTCACACCTGTCAGAATGGCTAAGATCGAAAACACAAGTGAGAGCCCATGCTAGAGAGAATGTAGAGCAAGCAAAGGGAACAGTACTCCATTGCTGGTGGAAGTGCAAACTTGAAAAGCTACTATGGAAATCAATATGGTGGTTCCTCAGAAAATTGGGAATTGATCTACCTGAAGATCCAGCTATATGACTCTTGGGCATATGCCAAAAGGACACTACATCCTACCACAGAGACACTTTCCCAAATTCTTGTGGGCCACCTAAGAGGGTATCTCTGACTCTTTTGACTGCACTTGGGACTCTTTTCCTCCTCTTTGATTCCCTCGTCCAGTCTTGATATAAGGGTTTGTACTAGTCATATGGCATGTTCAGTTGATATCCCTGGGAGGCCCATTCTTTTTGTGGAAGGGAAATGGAGGAGGAGTGGATCTGGGGGAGAAGAAGGGTGCATTGGTGCACTGGGGGGATTGGATGGAGGGGAAGTTGGGATGTAATATATGAGAAAAAAATCAAAAAAAGAAAAAAGTATTACTTTTACCTAAGGGAAATAGTTGTTTTGATAACAAGAAAAAAAGCCAAAAGTTAGTAGAGACCAAAAGAACAGTTACTGATGCAGAATGACTGGCAGACACATTACTTGTATTTTATATGCTATTTAATAGTAGCCACACAGAAGTCATCATCATTATCTTGAATTACAAAATTGGGATTCAAGGTAAGTTACTGCCCAAGATTGAACTAGTAATATACATAGTGAAGCAACGATTTGAAGAATTGTCTCTATCATAGGTGTGATAGGAAAGCCCATGTCCTTTCCTATATGCTACTGTGTGTATTGTGATATATTTGGTAGTTTGACATGGAAATAGAAGGGGCTACTAAGTAGAAAATTGAAGAGATAACATGAATAGTCTGTATTTTTAAAAAAAAGACTAATTGAACAGAAGAGAAGCCCACAAACAGGCCAAGCACACATTGCCATAAGGTGTCAGGGAACTACCCTTTCTTTAAATATTGCTAGGATAGATAGATATGCACACAGGGAAAAGATTTTAAAAACTACCACTTCACAATGCTATAAAATAAATTTCAGGAACACTGTAGAATATAATTGAATATTAAGCTAGAACTTTTAGGCTGCAAGATGACATTTTCATAATCTTTCAGCTGAAGAGTTGTAACCTATAGAAAAATCAAAATGATTCTGTTCTATTTCTTAAGTAGACTAGAGACTATTTTATGATTAGTTATATGGGTTCATTTAGATTTTCGTGCCTTTTATATTACCATTACCTTACAATACAGAATGTTAAAATTCTTAATCTATTGCAATCTAATGAAAAGCCGGTACTTGGAAACACAATTGTGCAATAAAGATTAGCAGGTGACTCACTGGTTTTTGAAGTACAATGGGATGATCAGGCAGAAAGTCTGGTTTTTTTCTGCAGATGGAAACACTTGAAAGCTTCAACAAGAAATCTCTGCTGTATTTAATTCTCTCTGTAATTATAAAACAATACCATTCTAGGTAACTTTTCAACTCCATTTTGGATGTTTCTAAACTATTTTATTAAATGACATGCAGTATCTGTTGAAAAGATAGGGGAGAAAAAGCTCACAAAAATCATCCTTCGGCTTGGGAAAAAAAGTTAGGAAAAAGAGGAAGCATCACATAAAAATTGATCACTTACTCAGGTATAGCAATATGACCTATATTATAAAGTATAACAGCATCAGTATCTATTGACAATGTCAGTATCTATTGACATTATTATATCTATTGTACTATTCAGATCATACCAAAATGGAAGCACAGTGGGCCTATCTAATCTCAATTGATACTGTAATTTTAGTACAATCAAACAAACTCAAAAGCATTTATTATATGTCTATTGTATATCAAGAATTATGCCAGGTAGTGGTGGCACATGCCTTTAATCCCAGCTCTCAGGAGGCAGAGGCAGGCGGATCTCTGTGAGTTCGAGACCAGCCTGGTCTACAAGAGCTGGTTCCAGGACAGTCTCCAAAGTCACAGAGAAACCTTGTCTCAAAAAAAAAAAAAAGAAGAATTATGCCAAGTAATGACAAGGAGATCCACGACAGGCTCCCTATGTTCAAGGCAACCAACTATTCAAATATCTACCAATTTCTCATCAGAAACTATCTTCAATAGTGACCAAATATGCTGATGTTGAAAGCAATGGCCATAATATTCTAAAAGAACTAAAAGAAAAGAACTGACAGATTTCTTACTAGTGGTGTAAAGAGAAAATCCTACTAGAATCCTACTGACACTCTCATAATAGAAAGCTAAAACAAATTCAGTAGCAGACCTGGTCAGCAAGAAATGGTAAAAGGAGGTCATTCAAGTTGAATGGAAATGATCCTACATGGAAACTTTCCTCTTCAAAAAGAAATGACAGTAAAGCAGACTCCTGCTCTTCCCTCTAAATTGTATTAAAATGTGTGTCACTGTCAAAAGCTAAAGTTCTAATGTTGTCTGGGGTATTAAAATTAAGTAACAATGTTTGATATTATAACCTAGATTATAACTAAAAAAGAAAACATAACCAAAAACAGGTCAATAAATAAAAATGAAATAAAAAACACAAAACCATATAAAGTAGACAAGAAAAATAAAATAAATCATCTATTATTAACAGAATACAAATAAAACAATAGGCCTAAATGTAACTATATCAACAATCACTTTAAATGTGAATGCTCTAAAAACAAGAACGTCTCTTATGAAGGACCAGCTAGCAAATATTTGAGAATCGTGGAGTCACATAATCTGTTACAACTATTCAGTTTTGTGTCGTAGCACAAATGTGGCCACGTATGATATATACATGAAGAGTGTGGCTCTATTTCAACAAATTTTGTTTCTAAAAAAAAGCATTTGATATAGTTTTCTGACTCCTATGAAAAGCATTGTATAAATGCATACAAGTTTGACACCGGATAATGAAAGCCTTATTCTTACTGTGTACTGTCTACAAATGACACATTAAACAAATACATTTGTGTTGAAGGTATGTATATTTTTATACTTTATATGTGGTATATATATATATATTCAATACCAAGACTAGAAATAAATAATCTGAAATGGCTGACTACCTTCTCAAACAAGGAGGTAATTATCAGTATGTTCTATATAATAGAGTCTTAAAAGAAATGAAACAACTTTAACAGAAATGAATTTGGAAACATAGACAATAATGTCAAGTATTATAAAACCCTCCTTCAGAAAGTAAGAAAATAAAGCACAAAAATCAGGAGTAATCTGGAGAACATTGTTAAGTATTTCATTTAACTAAAATTATAAATATGACACCTACAAAAACCCATAAGTCAGACCATAAACAACTCTTAATAAATTAAAAATATATATAACAAAATTAAATTATAAATGTATAATAATTATAATATAATATAAATATAATCTATAAAATCTCAAGTATCTAACAAGTCAAGTAATATATTTCAAGATACACTCATAAGACACAGAAATAGGGGAATTAAAAATACTTTAAAGAGAACAAGTCAAACATCGCATTTAAAACTTATAGTGTGGGGCTGGAGACGTGGCTCAAAGGTTAAAAGCCTTGCTGCTCATGCAGAGGACTTGGGTTCAGTTCCCAGAATTCACTTGGTGGTACACAATCTGTTCCAGTTCCAGGGAATATGACATCCTCTTGCCTCCACAGGCATCAGGTAAAAATTTGATGCACATGCATATACTCCAGAAAAAAATCACACACATAAATTTAAAACACATAAGTGTTTCTCAAATATGTAGAATATGGCTGAAATGTAGCTTCAATGAGAATAAATTTTTATAAGGCAGAAGACTCAAATTTTATTTTAAAATTAGAGAAAAATATAAGCAAAAGAAAAATTGTACAATGACCAGGACATTACAACTAAACATTGTAAGTGGGTAATGGATGCTTAGGGGAACTAACTGGAAAAAAATAAAATGTGTTTCAGACCCAAGGAACTGAAGGCACTGATAAGAATATTGTTCATTTAGATGAAGATACAAAGCCATGGCCATTATATTAAAAAGTTTTCATCTGAGAACGAGGTTAATGATTAATAAAAAACACTATAGGAGATAACTCTTCCTATTAAAAATAAATTTTCAGTGTAGAAGGATATTATAAACTAGATGTGTAGAATTTAACATTTTGTGTAATTGAAGTTGTAGGCCTAAATATGCATTGCTCCAAACATGGAGATCATTTTGTGAACAGTGTATACCCTTTGGTGTTAATGCACAAAACAACGTGTGTTACTTATTTTTGTGCCAGAAGGCTGGGGGACTCACACAGTAGTAGCTATAGAACCCAACATGTGAACTTTAGAGTATTTTAATATACATGTGCCCACATGTATATGTACATACATGATTACATATGCTATTTGTGCTCTTCTCCATAGTACTCACAATAGAAAAGGTAAGTCAAATATCATTCTATTAAACTGGCATTAATGGAACTAACTCTAGAATGCTTACTTTCCCTTTCTGCTGTTTTTCTACTCTATATATTTAAAATATATTTACTAAAATCGAGTAAATACACACATCTAAGAAAGAAAAGGGCATAATATTGGTTGAATAAGGAAATTGAGAGTGGATCTGGGAAGAGGTGGGGTAAGGAATGAATAAAATTGAAATATAGTTTGTGAAATTCTCAAAAACAGAAATAAAAATGGGAATTGAGAAAAATGCTACCTACCACTAAAAATAGTTCTCACACACTTCGATAACTTAAAATGCCTTTTAGAATCATATTATCCTATAGCCACAGATAATTTCAAATTTAATATAATCAGTCAAGATCACGTTATACGGAAAAATTGTATATGAAATGCCCTTATTTTCTGACAAACAGTAAGCCTCTGGTCAATTTGTTAAAGGTATGTGACCTAATGGAAACATTGAATTCTTATTTCATCAAAAGGTTTTGAGCAACCCTATTGCTGAAGATTTCACGTATCTGAGTCATAGAACATGGGGAAATTATGGTGGTACTGACTTAGAAGCGCCACCCTACTGGCTAGCTTCCACAGTACTGGAATGTACTATGAACACTATCAAAGGAGAAAAATAATCATCAGTCTTACTCCACTTATATCAAACCTACAGTAATGATTAGGCTGGCCAATCATGCCCACTGTGACAGTAGTAACATAAACATAACAGATGTTATCAATCACTTTGAGATTTGATTTAAGGCCTGTTCCACAACATGAAACCCACACCTGGCACCACTATTAGGCCAAGAACCTATAGTTAGAAAAGTCACAGACCACAAGTGAGAAGTTACCATGTTAAAACAATTCTTGTTTTTGAAGAACAACACCAATAGACATGTTAATATCAGCAGAGGAAAGTGCACAAGGCTTTGATCCTAGACAAAGAACTACTGGTGACTATGGAAATCAAAGAACTGGAGAAGTAGTCTTTCCAGAGAAGAACATTCCGATTGGTTATGCAATACTAAATGGCCATCCCTAAAGTTACTACTTTTATTCTGCTAAGTGAGCACAGTATTTAAGTGACTGCTAATGACTTAGATTAATGTATCTTGCAACCTTTATCAGAGAATCTTCTATTCATAGTAAATGATGATGAACAGAGTCTCATAACTGGCCATGGTGCAAGGATAAGACACTGTAGAATGATCAGCCCTAAATGGAACAGACATAACCCACCCCCTCCTGCAAAAGCTCAGAGATCATTGAAGAAAAAGCAGAAAGAATGTAAAAGTCAGAGGTTGTACATTACTAAGGAAGTGTCTTTGGGCAGAAGGGCAGAGGGCTCATACAAAAATCATAATGGTTATGCATGTACAAGGCCAATACAAGCCCAAGTCCTACCAAATCCTACCATGCAGAGGAGGATTGTACATCCTTCCCCAGCCAAGGAACTCTTGGCAACTGTTACTGCTAGGAGCGGAAAGGTCAGTTTTCTCCAAGATTATAGCTCCTGATAAACTGACAACAGTCCAGTGGAATACCATACATCTAAGAGTAATTGGGCAGCAAAAATTTGATTTAATGGGTTTCAAAAAGTAAAAAGACACAGAATTGGATTGATCGGGAAGTGGGGTGGGGGTGGGGCGATCTGAAAGGAGTTATGAGAGGAAGTTGAGTATGATTAAAGCACATTGTACAAACTTAGCAACTAATAAAACTCATATATAAAGAAAATTTTTGTTCTGTTTCTGTGTTCCTATAACAGTATACCTGATTCTAGGTAATGTAGAAAGAAAAGAAGCTTATAATTCTGATGGCTGGAAAATCCAGACACCATGGCATCTGGGAAGGAAGGAGCTCTTGACTTCATCTTAATATGTAAGGAGGCATCTTAGCATAGAAGACAAGAACATGTCAGAGACAGAGATTGGAATTAATGTAGTTTAAAGACTTGTTTTCCACTATTGCCATTATAATGGGGATTGAGCCTCAACAAGAGGTTTGTGGGGAAAAATCACCTTATCGTAAACCACATCAATTAGAAAAATTATATACAAGTAATGACCTAATAAGCTGTATTAAAATGCTAGGGTGGGGACAAACTAAACCCAAAGTAACAGAATGGAATTTACAATCACCAATGATAATTAAAGATGAAGCAATTAAAGACAATTAAAGCTGATTCTTTGAAGAATAAAAACAAAGTTTACTACTATCTAAATAACAAAAAAGACTACAAATTACCACCATCTGGAAGAATAGTGGAGTTCTTATCATACATTAATTATAAAAGATAGAATGAGCAACTTCCTAAAAACATTCAACACAGATGAAATGACTACACAAATATTTTAACATGGGTTTTAAATTTCTTTGATATAGCCATTTGAAAATTAGAGTCTATTAGAATTATTGCAACTGAAAATAATGATGAATTATGAATGCCAAGTGCTGTCAAGCAACTAGATTCAAGGGTATATCTAGCTATAAGGTCACTCTGAAACAGTATCATGAAATTATGCATTTACATAGTCTAGGGTACATCAATCTAACTTCTACCTCAGAGAAATAAAACAATCCAAATAATAACTTTTAAATGAGCAATCGATATCAACAATAATCAAAATTATAATGCAAGAGAGTAAATAAAATGTTGCGTCCACATCACCTAATTCCCAATGAAGGTTCCAAGGACATTCAATGAGGAAAATGTGTCTTTAATACTGAATAGCCACATGAAAAAAAAGAATGAAGCTGAACTCTAATTTCACAATAGATCCATAAATTAACTCAAAATGAATCAAAAGACCAAAAGTTATAAAGTATCAAACCCTGAAGGGAACAAGGGTAAATATTCATAAAATCTGACACTCCACACCTATGAACACCTGATTTTTGACAAAGAAGCTAAAACTGTACAGTGGAAAAAAGAAAGCATCTTCAACAAATGGTGCTGGCATAACTGGGTACTGGTATGCAGAAGACTGCAGATAGATCCATGTTTATCGCCTTATACAAAACTTAAGTCCAAATGGATCAAAGATCTCAACATACATCCAGCCACACTGAAACTTTTAGAAGAGAAAGTGGGAGATACTCTTCAACGAGTTGGTACAGGAGACCACTTCCTAAACATAACACCAGTGGCACAGGCACTGAGATCGACAATTAACAAATGGGACCTTCTGAAACTAAAAAGCTTCTGTAAGGCAAAGGACACAGTCAAAAAGACAAAAAGGCAGGCCACAGAATGGGAAAAGATATTCACTAACCCTACATCTGACAGAGGGCTAATCTCCAAAATTTACAAAGAACTCAAGAAACAAGTCTCCAAAACACCAAAGGATCCACTAGAAAGGTGGGGTACAGAGCTAAATAGAGAATTCTCAGTAGAGGAGGCTAAAATGGCCAAGAGACACTTAAGAAAGTGCTCAACATCCTTAGCCATCAGGGAAATGCAAATCAAAACAACTCTGAGATACCATCTTACTCCTGTCAGAATGGCTAGAATCAAAAACACCGAAGACAATTTATGCTGGAGAGGATGTGGAGAGAGAGGAACACTCCTCCACTGCTGGTGGGAGTGCCGACTCATGCAGCCTCTTTGGAAATCAGTATGGAGATTCCTCAGGAAAATGGGAATTAATCTACCACTAGACCCAGCAATTCCACTCTTAGGCGTTTATCCAAATGAGGCAGGTTCATACAACAAGGGCATCTGCTCCACTATGTTCATAGCAGCATTATTTGTAATAGCCAGAACCTGGAAGCAACCTAGATGCCCCTCAACTGAAGAGTGGATAGAGAAAATGTGGTACATTTACACAATGGAGTATTACTCAGCAGAAAAAAACAATGGAATCTTGAAATTCGCAGGGAAATGGATAGCACTGGAAGAAACCATCCTGAGTGAGGTAACCCAGTCACAAAAAGACAAACATGGTATGTACTCACTCATATATGGATTTTAGATATGGATCAGGATAGTGCCAGTCTGCACTTCCACAGATAGAGAGTCTGGGAAACAGGAAAGAACCTAAAAGATATGCATATATGCATAGTACCCAAGAGAAGAGGATGGAGACAAGATCCTCTGAATGGATGGGGAACACGGCGAGGGGTGGGGGGGAGTGGGACCTGGGAAGAAGAGAGGGGATGAAGAGGAAGGGAGTTGGTCATGGGGGAACAGGAAGTTGAGGGGGTGGGGGTAGAATAGGGGGAAGAGGGAATCATAGGATCGAAGACAGATCAGGCACCAGAGTGACCTCAAGTGATCTAAAGGTATAACATCAATTGGCAAGCTAAGCAATAGTGGAAGGACCACCTCGAATGCCCATTCCTGATAATGAATTTGATGTCTATAACCATCCGGGAGCCTTCATCCTGTGACTGATGGAAGCAGAGGCAAACACACAACTAATCACTGAACTGAACCCAAGGAACCCAGTGACAGAGAGAGAGGAGTGATGAGCAAATTGGCAAAGAATGGGCTGGCAAAACCAGCAGAGACAGCTGATCTGAACAGGGGAATGCTCTTGGACCCCAGACCGACAGTGGGGAGGCCAAAATGGGACTGATCTGGACCCTCCCGAATGTGAGTGTCAGTGAGGAGGCCTGGGCAACCTATGGGGCCCTGAGCTGTGGATCAGTGTCTATCCCTGGTATACAAACTGTCTTCATGTGCCTATAGCACAAAGAGAGATACTCTCTCAGCCTGGACTCTTAGGGGAGTGCCTTGACCCTACCAAGAGTAAAATGACAGACTCTAGATATCCCCTATGTGGAAGGATTTGGCAATAGGGTGGGAGGGAGGGGGGAAGGGGAGTGCGGGAAGAGGGGAGGGAGAGGGAACTGGGATTGACATGTAAAACAAGCTATTTAAAATTAAAATAAAAAAATTAAAAAAAATCTGACACTCACTTTTTACATCTAATCCTAAAATACAGCAACAAAAGATAAATACTCAAGTGAGGAGTCATCTAATTAAAATTCTCAGCACTGAAAGAAGGAACTGGGGAAATGTGTGCCAGCACAGGGGAAACTCTTGAGAATCGTGTATCTAGTACCTGACAGGGGTTAGACATTCACAATGAAGAGAGGGAGGAAAAGTAGGAGAGGAGAGAGAGGGGATGAAACTATATATGTAGGTATGTATGTTGTATATTACAAATCAGTCAAACAAACAAACCAATGAAAAATTTAATAAAATGTATAATCTTCAATCTCATTGAAATCATTGATATTCTGGTATTTCTTTGAGAGCAGAAAAATCAACATAACTACTAATACAAAGAAATAAACCTAAAGGCAAATAACAAAGACAATTGACCTTATGTGAATACTGAGGATACTGTGTGAGTAAAGTTGAGAATTTTCGCAAAAGTGTACCTTTTTTAACTGGAGACTGGTGTTGCTGTTGCTCATTAAGACCTTGAGAAAAGGCTTGCATTCCATTTGTCTTACACTGTTGAGTAAGAAAACATACATTTAAACTTGGATTTGATCAGTATGGAGACTTCTCAGAAAAATGGGAATCAGCCTACCACAAGACCCAACAATTCCACTCTTAGGCATAAATCCAAAAGATGCACATTCATACAACAAGGACATCTGTTAGACTATGCTCATAGCAGCATTATTTGTAATAGCCAGAACTTGGAAGCAACCTAGATGCCCCTCAACTGAAGAGTGGATAGAGAAAATGTGGTACATTTACACAATGGAGTACTATTCAGCAGAAAAAAAAAAAAACAATGGAATCCTGAAATTTGCAGGCAAATGGATGGCACTAGAAGAAACCATCCTGAGTGAGGTAACCCAGTCACAAAAAGACAAACATGGTATGTACTCTCTCATATATGGATTTTAGACGTAGATCTGGGGAGTGCCAGCCTACAATCCCATGGCCAGAGTGTGGGAAACAGAACCTTCATTCAGTGGCTGATGGAAGCAGAGGCAGACTCCCACAGCTAAACACTGAGCTGAACTCAAGGAACCCAGTGACAGAGAGGGAGGAGTGAAGAGCAAAGGGATTAAGACTGGGCTGGTTTAACCCCCCAGAAACAGCTGACCTGACAAGGGTTACCTATTGAATCCCAAGACTGATGGCTGGGAATCCAGTATGGATCTGATCAAGACCCCCTGAATGTGGGTGTCAGTGAGGAGGCCTACGCCTTGGGTAGTAGATCAGTATTTATCCCTGGCATACAAATGGACTTTGGGTGCCCATCCCACAATGAGAGATGCACTCTCACCCTGGACTCTTGGGGGAGGGTCTAGGCCCTGCCCTGGATGAAATGACAGACTATGGACACCCCATGGAGGTCTTCACCCTCCCTGGGGAAATGAGGGGATATTGGGAGGGTTTGTGGGAGGGCACGGGAGAAGGGGAGGAAAAGGGAAAGGGAACTGGGATTGACATGTGAAGCAACCTTGTTTCTAATTTAAATTTAAATTTAAAATTAAAAAAAAACGGGTCTGGAAAGTTTATGTAACATGTTTTTAACCACTCAAGGTATTTTTGTATAGCCAAAAATATTATTCAAGGAATACTTGGAGCTAACCAATAAACCCTGACCATAAGTTTGCTTTGTGAAGTGAACAACAGAAAGCTGGCATTCTGCTGCATACTTACAGCCCCAGCACTCAGATGGCAGAGGTGGGAGAGTTGTGAATTCAGGGGCAGCCTGGGTTACAGAGGGCGACAGCATTCCAAGTCAATCTCAGCTCAAACCTCCCTATGAGCTGTTGCATGGGGGTCAGAATTCCCCAAAACAATATACTTATTGCCATTGTCCTTGGTTACCCAACACAATCAGATGGTAGGACGCTAATTCTGAAACCACACATAAGGGTTGTAGGACACCGAGACATCAAACTTGACCTGACCTGAAAACTTCCTCCTCTCTGGCTAACTTTTATAGTGCCAAAAGACACTGTTCAGGCTAACGTGGAACAAATCATCAATGATCTTACCCACTGATACCCTATGTGCTGTATAATAACCACTTGCCAGTCAAGATGTGACCAGCAGTGAAACAGTGGCATGCATATTACACAGTTAACTACCACATTCTATTGAGATTTCAGGCCCATTTCACAAAAGGAACTCTTGCCTGGTGCTGTATGGTCAAATGTTCATGACTTGTGAGGAAATATACTCTGAGGAAGTAGTTCACTACTGTTGCTTTGCTAAATGGACATGTCTAAGTGCTTTAGTATTTATGCCTACACTCCAGATAGTAATGCTCTCATCCTTGGTCACAGAAGTATTGCTTTCATCCTGATGATACAGTGATAAGCCCTGTTCTATATAATACTGACTTGCCAGTTGAGATACGACCAGTAATGAAACAACGGCAGGCACGTTATGCAGTTAACTCACCACATTCTGTTAGGATGGTGAGTAGTTAATTCAAAGATTCCTAACTGGTCAAAATGAATGCTGATTTCTCAGTCCTAAATGGAACACCAGTATCTCTCCCAGCCCTCAGTGAAAAGAATATAAGAAAGGAAGGAGTGTTGTGAAATGCTTTTTCTGGATATGGCATGGATACTGTACACATGAACTCACAGAAGCTATGGTTTTCTGCACAAGACCTGCACACAATTGAGCCCTTCAACATTTTAGCATGGGTGACAGAGGAGCGCATGAGGTTCTAGACCTGATGGGGAATATTGGCATTATTAGCAACTGGAAGAGAGAAAGTTATTTTCCTTCAGAGGTGCAGCCATTGGTAAGGTACTCATGACCCAAGAAGCAACCCCAAATGCACACCCATGCCAGCAACACTAACTACACTCAGTGAGTTGTAACACACACACACACACACACACACACACACACACACACACACACACATACACTTTGCACAGATAAATACATGTAAAAACATATTTCTCACATCTAAAATTTTAGTAAATTATCATTAACTCCAAAACAGCTACTTCAAAACAAGGCCTAACATCAAAGGTAAAATTATACTTTTTCGTGCCTGTTCATATTAAAATAACTGCTATCTAGAATATTTCATACATGTAAAAAGTATACTTACTGAAAGTTTTACAAAGTGATTATAGGTTCTGTGACTTAACTGTCATAATAATACGAAGGTAAGCATGATCATTTACAGTCAAAGTAAAGACCAGATGAGTTTAATGACTAAAACAAATGGCCAGAGCTAGCTGAAGTGGATTTGAAGTCTGGTCCTGCTCTACATTGCTATGAGGGGTGTGCATCTAAAAGAGAACCCTTCACAAAATATAACAAAGTTGTAATTTTTCAATAATTTTTTGGTTTTCTTCTAATTCTTACAAAGATGCTAGTTAGACAGCAATGGCCCTAATGAACACAGGGTACCTAAGAAACAAGAGCACTGTGGCTGGAATTGGAAATACAAAGAAACACATGACATCTCTTCTTAGAAACTCACAAATTCCCAAATATGAAACAACATTCTCATAGACCATGTTCTTAAATTATTTGCTGTGATTATAAGAACAATAATCAAAACCCAAAACATGTTTCCAAGGACCATTTAAAAAAGAAGGTAGCATGAGAAGATATGGGCAATCTCTCTTAAGCACCACATCAACTAAACACATGAAAAGATATGCCAATTCTCAAGCCACAGAGAATAAAAATTCAAAGCAACACAAGAATTTACAACCACTTAGGAAGAAAAAAATCATTGTGTCTGATAACAGCAAGATAAGGACCCTTGTTAGGCACAGAGTTCCATGCACTACATGGATAATTTACCTCGGCGCATAATCTGAGTACCCAACAGAGCTGGAGGTGACAATACTGTTTTCTGTCTTGTTTTGATTTGTTCTGGTTTTTGTTTTGTTTGGGACAGGGTTTCTCTGTGTAGCACTGGCTGTCCTGGATCTCCCTCTGAAGACCAGGTTGACCTCGACTCACAAGAGATTCAACTTCCTCTACCTCCTGAGTGCTGTGAGATCATTGTTGAACACAGCAGTTCTCTCCTAGTTTTGTCTGTTTGTTGTTTATCTATAGGCAACCTTTCAACCCTGAAAAACTGAAATTGCTCTGGAGAGTCATTGTTACATTGTTATAAAACTGAAACACCTGCCCATAAAAAAAATGAACTCCTAATGAGGTATGTTCATGTAAACTGAATTATTTTTCTCCATCAGCACCCACAGTGCTGCTCCATTTGTTAAACATTGCCTAGCTTTCCCAGTTGTTAATGCCTGTGCCCCCACAGTTTGACTCTAGGTTATCTGCATCAAAATATCTACTTATGTTAGTAGAAAAAGGACCACCAGGGAAGGGCTATAAGCCAGAAGGAAACTTCCACTAAGAATCATAGTATTTATGTTTTTAACATAAACATTAATGTAAAAGAAAAATTTTAAAATAATTCCATTATAGCAAAAATTCAAAATATATTCATGGAAAAATAACAATCAGAATAGTTAGTTCTGGGGAGGGTAGCAAGAAAATGGAATTAATTTTAGAAAGGCACATACAGTTTTAAATTGTCAGGTTATCTTTTCAATTTTTTAAGCAAATATAGGAAAACTTTTTTGTGTGTTTTTTTGTTTGTTTTTGAGACAGGATTTCTCTGTGTAGCTTTGTAGACCAGGTTGGTGTCAAACTCACAGAGATCTGCCTGCCTCTGCCTCCTGAGTGCTGAGATTAAAGGAATTTTTTTACATTTGAAAATGCTGAGAAGTATTATGGGTGGGCATGCAATCCTTAATGTATGCATAAAATATATCTTAATCTTTTTTAAAGAAAGAAATACTCTTAATGTGATGTTATTTATGATTTACTGACGCTTGTCTGAGGATTCAGAAAGCAAAACCAGCCTCAAGACATAGAAGTCAGGCACACCCCTTTAATCCCAGCAGCCAGAAGCTAGGAGGTGGTGGTACAAACCTTTAATCCCAGGACTCAGGAGGACAGATGGATCTCTGAGTCTAAGAACACCATGGGTTAACAGAAAATGAATCAGAGCTCATGTCTTTAAACCTAGGACGCATGAGAGGTATTTAAGACAGAAACAGGGTCATAGTATCAGGCATTCATTCTCCAGCCACATTGAGGATTCTCCACTGAGAGGCAGCAGGATGAGAGGCAGCAGGATCAGCCCATTCAGCCTGAGTTAGTGACAAGTTAGTGGCCCACTACTTTGCTTTTCTGATCTTCAGCTTGTAGTTTGAATCCCAATATCAGTCTCTGATCTTTTATTTTTCTGGCTACATCTTCACACAAGAGTTGGCATACAGTCACTTAGCAATGTCATTTTACAATCTATAATGTATGTATACATATTACACACACACAAAACAAACACTCTGGATAAGCATTCACTGTGCCAATGTGCTACTACCCAGCCCAATCTGTAATAATTTCTAAGACTTACTCTGCCAACTCCACTCTGTAAGCACTGAGTGTTACATGGATATTCATTCTGAAAGTTAAAAGGGAACACTGGTCCTGTAAGAAAAAAGAAAAACTATTTAAAATAGTCACATTTTCAATAAATAATATACCATAGTCTAAAAAGCAAGCATGTTTGTGAAATCTTTGGAATTGTTACAAAAATTTTTTCTTTTTTTTTTCTTTTTTTTATTTTATTTTCCAGTTTAAATTTAGATAAGAAACAAGGTTGCTTCACAAGTCAGTTCCAGGTCCCTCTCCCTTTCCCTCCCCTCCTCCCGTGCCCTCCCCCCAGCCCCTCCCCCGTTATCCCCTCATTCCCCCAGGGAGGGTGAGGCCCTCCATGGGGGTGTCCATAGTCTGTCATTTCATATAGGGCAGGGCCTAGACCCTTCCCCAAGAGTTCAGGGTGAGAGTGCACCTCACATTGTTCTATGGGAGTCCAAAGTCCGTGTGTATACTTGGGATGGGTACTGATCTGCTGTCCAAGGCTCAATAGATTCCCTAGGCCTCCTCACTGACACCCAGATTCAGGGGGTCTTGATCAGTCCCATGCTGGATTCCCAGACTGATGCCTGGGATTCAAGAGTTAACCTTTGTCTGGTCAGCTGTTTCTGGGGGTTAAACCAGCCCATTCTTAATCTCTTTGATCATCAGTCCTCCCTCCCTGTTTTTAATGGTTCATTATCCAACAAATATTTATTCTGCCTTCTGATGTCATAGCTTGTTAGGAGATAGGTAACAAAGCATGAGTCTAAAAACACACTCATAAGCAATGGTTACCATATTGTTTCATACACAGTAAATTACACTCTTACTGTAAGCTTTAGAGAAATCACAGAGTGCCATAGCTACTGGGAAGGCTTCACAAAGGAAGTCATTTAAATTGCATTTGAGGAAAAAGAAAATTCTTCTGAGGATCTGAATTGTGCAAAGTAAGGAAATGTGTTGAGAAAGCCGCAGGTTAATTTCCATTTTAATTTAGCGTTCTATCTAACAAGCCTCTACTTCACTGTATCTTCAATGTATTTTACTTCAGTTGGAGATCAGTGTCACCCAACATTTCTTCCATTCACCCATGTCACAGACTTGGAGGGAAGGGGACAGTGAGAACTGGACCTGCAAAATCGAGATGGGGAAGAGTGATGGCAAAAGGTGATCACAGGGACGAGATCAGTGGACTCAAATCAAAGACCAAGATGTAACTCCACACACTTATGGACACATAATTTTGGACAAAGAAAATTTTTGACAAAGCTAAAATTATACAATGGAAAAAAGAAAGCCTCTTCAACAAATGGTGCTAGCATAACTGGATGTTGGCATGTGTAAATAGTTCCATATCTATTACCCTGAATAAAACTCAAGACCAAGTGTGTAAAAGACCTTAGCATAAATCCAGTTACACTGAACCTGATAGAAGAGAAAGTAGGGAGACTCCCTGAACAGAATACCAGTAGCACAGACACTAAGATCAACAATGGACAAATGTCACCTCATAAAAAGGAGAAGCTTCTATAAGGCAAAGGACACAGTTAGTAGGACAAAACAGCAGCCTACACAATGAGGAAAAAAGATGTGAAGAAAAGCCCTACATCTAACAGAAGAATGATCTCCAAAATACATAAAGAACTCAAGAAATTATACATAAAAAACAAATAATCATATTAAAAAATGGGGCATAGACCTAAACAGAATTCTCAAATGGCAGAATAATCTCAAATGACAGAGAAACACTTAAAAGAAATATTCAACATCCATAGCCATTAGAAAAAATTCAAACCAAAACAACTGTAAGATTCCATCTTTTTAAACCTATAATGGTTATAGGTTTAAAGAGAAATCTGGCACTAGGGAAAAATGTCCAAGGACCCCCAAGGATGGTCCCAACTTAGAACCTAAGCAACAGTGCAAGGCTACCTTAAATGCCCTTCCCCAATAATGAGATTGATGACTATCTTAAATGCCATCCTAGAGCCTTCATCCAGTAGCTGATGGAAGCAGAAGCAGACACCCACAGCTAAGTACTGAGCCGAATTCAGCTGCAGAGGAGGAGGAGTAAGGAGCAAAGGGGGGGGGGTCAAGACCATGCTGGGGAAACCCACAGAAACAACCAACCTGAGCAAATGGGAGCTCAGGGACCCCAGTCTGACAGGTCCAGAAATAGCATAAGACCCACCCAGGTTCCCTGAATTTGGGTGTCAGCTAGGAGGCCTGGGAAGTCTATGGGGCCTCTGGCAGTAGAACCAATATTCATCCCTAGTGCACAAATGGACTTTTGGAGCCCATTCCCTATGGTGGGCTACTCTCTCAGCGTGGCTACATGTGGGAGGGCCTAAGACTTGTCCCAAATGATGTGACAGACTTTGATGATACCCCATGGGGGGGGCCTCACCCTCCTTGGGAAGTGTATGAAGGGTAGAATGGTGGGGGGCATGGGGAGATGGGAGGGAGAGGGAACTAGGATTTGTACGTAAAAGAAGGTTGCTTTTAATTTAAATAAAAAATATTTTTAAAAACATCCCATCTTACACCTGTCAAAAATGACTAAGATCAAAAACCAAAAGACAGTCCATGCTGGAGAGGATTTGGAGCAAGGAGAACAATCCTCCATTGCTGGTGGGAGCATAAACTTGTTTTGGGGGAGCTTCGTATTTTTTTATTTTTTACACATGTAACTCTCAGCTCCCTCTCCCTCCCCTCCTCCCCCTCCCCCCAATCCTCCCAACCCCTCACCCCTACTCCATCCTCCCTCCATTCCCCAGGGAGGACAAGGGCTTCCATGAGGGATTTTCAGAGTCTGTCACATCATCCCGGGCAGGGCCTAGGTCCTCCCCCATGTGCCAAGGCTGAGAGAGCATCCCTCCGTGTGGTATGGGTTCCCATAGTGCATCTGTATGCCAGGAATAAATACTGCTCTACTCTCCAAAGTCCCACGGACTGCCAAGGCCTCCTCTCTATCACCCAGGTTCAGGGAGGGAAGGAGTAGTGTCTGGATCAGTCCCATGCTGGCCCCTCAGTCATCAGTCTGGGGTCCATGTGTTTCCCCTTGTTTAGGTCAGCTGCCTCTGTGGGTTTCGCCAGCCTGATCTTGATTCCTTTGGTCATCACTCCTCTTTGCAACTGGGTTCCAGGAGTTCAATTGGGTTCCCAGCTGTGGGTATCTGCCTCTGCCTCCATCAGCCATTGGATGAGAGTTCTAGGATGACATATAAGGTATTCATCATTCTCATTATCATGGGAGGCCATTTAAGGTAGGCTTAGTGCCAGTTGGTGTCATTCTTATAGATCTGTGAAGAGGGAGCACAAACTTGTACAACCACTTTGAAAATCAAAGTGGCAGCTCCTTAGAAATTTTCCTGGCCTTCTTCAGGTGCCCTGCTCAGAGGCTCATGAGGCCTGGAAACTGCACATAGGGAACCCGTCCCTGCGGAGCAGCCATCCAGAGTCTGCCAACATTGTGGTACTAATCCTGCCTACACTCATGGGAGAAGGAGAGCCATCGGAATATTGGACCTGCTTGAACCCTCCATAAGACAACTTTGGTCCCGTCCCCTCCAGGAGAGGGAGAGACCCCACCAGTACCCACTGGAAGAAGGGATAGAAAGATGACAGTATAAGAGCACAATCAACAACAGAAAGATCAATATGATGCCACCAGAGTCTAGGGACTCCACACCAGCAGAAGAGAACGACCCTAAAAACAACTTTATGAAGATGATAGAGACCCTCGAAATGTAATGATAAAACCCCTTAAAGAAATGAAAGAATAACAAAAATCAAGTTATGGAGGAAAAGGCAAAGCAAAAATTGCAAGAAACAATTCAAACAGTGCAAGGGTTGAAAGCTGAAATAGAGACAATAAAAAAACACATTCTGAGGGAATGATGGCAATAGAAAAGCTGGGTAAATGATCAGGAACTACAGATGCAAGAATAACCAACAGAATACAAGAGATGGAAGAGAGAATCTCAGATGTTTAAGATACACTAGGAGAAAAACATTCATCGACCAAAGAAAATCTTAACTCCAACAAATACCTAATACATAATATCCAGGAAATATAGGACACCATGAAAAGGCCAAACCTAAGAATGATATGTACAGAAGAAGGTGAAAAAACATACCTCAAATGTACAGATAACATATTCAACAAAATCATAGAAGAAAACAAAAGAAAGACATGCCAATGAAAGTACAAGAAGCCTACAGAACACCAAATAGAGTGGATCACAAAAAAGTTCCCCTCAACATATAATGATCAAAACACCAAATATACAGAATAAAGAAAGAATATTAAGAACAGCAAAGGAAAAAGGCCAAATAACATATAAAGGTAAACCTATCAGAATTATACCTGACTACTCCATGGAAACTCTGGAAGTCAGAAGGTACAGGATAGATATTCTATAAACACTAAGAGACCACTGATGCCAGCCCAGAATGCTATACCCAGAAAAGCTATCAATCACTAGAGACAGAGAAAACAAGATATTCCATGACAAAACAAGATTTAAACTATACATATCCACTAATCCAGCCAAACAGAACGTTCTGGAAGGAAAACTCCAACCCAAGGAAGTTAACTACACCCACAAAAACATAGGTTAGAGGTAATCCCACTTACCAACAGCCAAAAAAGAGGGGGGATCCACACACAATACCAACAACAACAAATCAAAAACAAACAAGAATTAGCAATCAGTGGTCATTAACATCCCTCAATATTAATGGTCTTAGCTTACCTATATAAGACACAGGTTAACAGAATGAATACAAAGACAGAACCCATCCTTTTGCTGCATACAAGAAACATTCCTCAACTTCAAAGACAGACATTACCTCAGAGTTAAGTTCGGAGAAAAGATTTTCCAATCAAATGGACCGAAGAAACAAGCAGGTGCAGCAATCCTAATATCTAACAAATTAGACTTTAAACTAAAAACAGTCAAAAGAGATGAAGAAGGCCATTTCATATTCATCACAGGAGAAATCCATTAAGATGAAGTCTCAATTCTGAACATCCATGCCCCAAATACAAAGGCATCCATGTTTGT